TCCCGATGCTCATATACAGAGCATCAATACATATTCTCTGCCACAGCAGATGGTTTCCGCTTCCCGAGCCTTCCACGTGGAGCAGATGCTGCAAAATCCAATTTCCCTTGGGCATAACCTTTGATTGGCATCTCTCTGCCAGTTGCCATTTCATAACAGGTCCTGGAAAAGGCTTTGGAGTCTTTGTATGGCTTATATGTCTGATGCCTAGACTAACGTGGCTTGTTGGAGTATCCTGGATGTCTGACAAGTTATCAGAGTTGTTAAGTCGTGCTGTAAAGCCTGTGGCAGCAAGACAGCACTGCTTGCATCATCCAGAATGCTTGATCTTGCATGAAAATATGCTGAAAGGTGTAGTTCCCTGGTGTTAATAGAGCTCAAATGAAGCTTTCTTGAAGAGCAGTGCTCCTGCTGTTTGTTGCTGGGGACTTGGAGCAACCTGCTCTAGTGGAAGGTGTCCCTGCCCGTGGGAGGGGGGTGGAACTGAATGAGCTTTAAGATCCCTTTCAACCCAAACCAGTCCATGATTCTCTGATTCTTGTGTTCAAGCTCAAGCAAACCCTTTGGGTCCTTTCAATTTATTGCTCAGCCACATGAGCCCGGGGAGGCAGCAGGACGGGTGAGGGTGGAGTGGAGATGGGACAGTCCCTTTTGGTGGCAGCCCACAGGAGCAGTGAGAGCTTTAACACCTTGGAGAGCCCGAGGCTGGAGTTGTGTGTCTGTTCTGAGCATGGTGGAAGCAAAGTGGAGCTTTAGCTTTGATGTCTGCATTTGCTCTCATTCCAGCGCGATGCTTTAATCTCCAAAATGCAATGCTGGGCTTTCACTGTGCTCAGCTTGAATGTTTTCCAAGACATCACATTGCTGAAATAGCAGTATTTGCCTGTGAATTCCAGTGCAGTGATCAGCGTGTGTATTGGGGTGATAACCTTTCCATGAGAGCAGTGGTGGAGTGAGGCCTTTTACATAGACTCAAAGCCAAATCACTCAGCAGCAAGTCCAAAGCTTTTAAGCAAACTTAGAAGATTTCTGCTTCCAGCAGCTTTCACTGTAAGACACTGCTTTTTCTCCAAAGGAGAAGTTGCACGTGTCGTGCCTGGATTTTCTTCACTTAATGTGTTGTCTAATGCCATGGAGCAGTAATTTGTTTTGATGTGATTTCATACCTTAATTGCATTAAACTGGTCACGGTTTGTATTTCAAGTGTTGAGTTGTACCTTTGAATCCTCTAGATGAGACCTCTGCTCTGCCTCTGGCTTTTCATCCTGCACTCTTTGAACCCAGAACTGCTCATCTACAACAGACCGCTCCACAGCACTGTGGCTTTGTTTGACCTTTTCAGTCCTCTGCCGACACAGTTCCTCACCATTAAAAACCTCAAGTTTGAGTGCCCAGACAAAAGATACCTTTTCCTCAATCAATCTCTTTTGTTGGCAGTGTCCTTCAGAAGTATTTACAGATCTAGTGGTGATATTTGTGGAGCTCCTGCAGTTCACCATGGCAAAGCACTCAGTGGCACCAGGACACATTTCTTGTTGCTGAAATAGAGCCAAGCTACACCATGAATTATGCAGATGGGCTGTGATTAAATAAAATTTGATACAGATTTTCTTAGGCTGCCCCTTTTTACTGTTAATAAGGTCCAGAGAACCCAGCCCAAAATCCTCTAGTGGCGTCTGCCCGCTTGGATCCTGCAGGCAACAGGCACCCTTTAATATCTACATCAAGGTGACAACTTCCCTTTTGAGCTTTGCCCCTTCTTAAAATGATGGTAAATGTTGATCTGTGTTTGAGTGAGCTGAGGGTGCATTGTCTCGTGTCCCTTCATTTCAGTAACTGGTGTGGAGCTGAGGAGCCCTGGCTTGGGCTGGGAGGCTCCACAGCAATGCTCCTTTGGGTCCAGAATAGATGAGCGATGTATCCTGGGTCTGAAAATTAGATCTATGCTACAGCATTTCTCTTCTAGCAAAGCCAGTAGGTAAGTTCTTGAGTGCAGAGCTGGCAGTGTTGCCGCTGAAAACCCTCAGGGAAAAATCAAACCCTAAAAATACGCCTGAAACTAATAATGGCTTCTGTAGGCTGGCACTTCGGATGCTTTTTTTAATGTTCTTTGGTACAGCTTCACCTTGTAGGAGCTCCCACCAAGAGCAGAGCCTTGCTGATGTTTAGAGCTGAGAAGGGTACTCCAGCCTCTTGCTTGTATGGTTTTGAGTGGTTAAAGCTGACTGAAGGAGTTGGGACCCCAGAGAGCACTGAAGAGTTGCATTGCTGTTGCTTCCTTCCCTCCATGAAATCCCCATCTTTGAGTCTTGCTGCAATTTATCTTCCTGGTTCTTAGGCCCAGTAGGAATTTAATTGTAATTGCAGTGCTGTCTCCTTACCAAGTAAGGCTGTATTAATACCTTAATTAGCACACTCCTAATCCGAGCTGTTTCCTTCCTCATCTGCACTTTTCAAGACCGTTATCCTGACGTAGTACTTGTGGTACTACTCACTGTGTGTGTATCTTAAATTAGTACTCACTGTATTTGTATCTTAAATTTGCAATGATCTCAGTTTCAAACTTTTCATAGAATATTCTGTTACCCTCTTCCATCATTCTCTATCATCCTTGAATTATTCTCTAAGAAGTAGAGATGACAACCTTGGTATTAGAGCAAATTATGTAGATAAATCCTCACCTGATTTTACTGGAAACTCAGTGGCTCACCATGAGTTACTTTGAGAGCTACTGCAATTACTTAAGTCTTCAGCACTAAGCTGAGGGCATTAAATTATCATTTATGTTGGTTTAGGTATATTTGAAAAAGGTTTTGAGCTGCCTTCATTTCACATCCCATCATTTTTTGGCTTTTGGAATTGCTTCGGTGTCATAGAATCCCAGCCTGGTTTGGGTTGAAGGGACCTTAAACTCATCCAGTTCCAGCCATGGGCAGGGACCCCTTCCACTAGAGCAGCTTGCTCCAAGCCCCTGTGTCCAACCTGGCCTTGAACACTGCCAGGGATGGGGCAGCCACAGCTTCTCTGGGCACCCTGTGCCAGCGCCTCAGCACCCTCACAGGGAAGAGCTTCTGCCTAAGAGCTCAGCTCAGTCTCCCCTCTGGCAGGTTCAAGCCATTCCCCTTGGCCTGTCCCTACAGGCCCTGATGAAGACTCAAACCATCCTGTTTTCTTAGATAACTTAATTGCTGTTAATGCTTCCTAAAACACAAGGTTTTGTTAGGAACAGGAGCCTCCTAAAACCAGGATGGGTAAATGTTTCACACAGGATGTAAAGCTCTGGTTAGACTGGGAATTCCTGCAATACTCTGTAATATCTCATGAATGCATCCTGATGACTGATACCTAATATGATTCCCCAAGCCTGTGAGTTAACAAGATTAAAGCATCCTACAGTAATTTTTGTCAAGCTGCACTTTGTTCTTTTTGACTAATAGGTGGGAGCTAAGTTCTGCAATAGTTAAGCTTTAGTAATCTCAGTGCTGCATTTATTGTGTTGTTGGTGAGTTGGTGAGCACTGTCGGGCAGATGAACGAGGCTTCCCTAAATCCGTAGTAGGACATGAAGTTATTACATTGCTGTCACCCTCCAGCCTGAAGTGTTTCCCTCTTCTGCCTCCGCCTGTGCTGGGCCAGGCTGTGAGCACACCACAGAGCCGGTACAAAGTCGAGCAGTTACACAAGCAGTTTAATCCTGGTGTCTGATAATGCGTGAAGGGGGTTGCTGTTTTTAATATTGATCTGTCATGTAAATATAGGTGTGTGCATGCACTTGTGAAAACATGCTATAAAAGTTATAATCACTGTGCTCTTGGGCCCCGTGCTGTTTAATTCACAGACTTCTGTGCAAAAAAAGGCTTTGTTCATAATAGTGCTCCCCATGCTGAGCCTTTACAGTGAATAACAGGATGTTGTATTTTGTGTATGCAAGCAAGGATGTTGTTTTGACATAGGACAAACCCAATATTTCAAGACAAAATCTTCCATTGCATTTTGGAACTGCTTATGAGATGTAGGCAGGAAATATTTGTTTTAAAAGTGTTATGCAGCTTGATAGTGATGCTGGGATATGGGGCTAGGTATTGACTAAACAAATTTGTGCTTGGCCCTGCACAGAATTCCCCTCTGTGTGGGCCAGGCTGGCTTTTCTTTTTTGCTCAAAGGGTAGTTTGAGGAGCACTGTGCAGCTCAGGGAGTGCTCAGACACCAAAGCCGGTTTGTTCCCTTTTCTTATGGTGCTTTCAGAAAGCTGATCCACACAAAAAGCCACCATCAGTTGAGTATAAATATTGCATACTCTTGCTGGGAAATCTGTTGCTGAGCTGTTAGGTGGGAAGAGGTGGTTCTGGCTCCTACCAGTTGGGTATTGAGAGTTTAGTGTGTGACTTATAGCAGAATGCTTTGCACATATGCTTTAATGACTGTGATCACTTATTTTTACATGGTGATGGGTCAAAATGTAAATCTTTGCTCTTTTTGAAAGGAAAACAACTGTTTTTTTTCCTTTCTCTTGAGTAAACTTTGCATAAGGTTGTGCTGAATAACAAGAGCTATGTATTATCCAGGTTGAAAAAGCAGCCCTTTTTGGGACATGCTTCATTTTGTGCAAGGAATATCATCTTCCTAACTGGTCAGACAAGTGCCAGCCCATGTTCGGGGTTGTGCTCTGCCTGGTGGTCAGTGCAGCGTAGGGAACTCCGTGTCTTGTTCTCTACATCCAAGAGTTTAACCTGCCAAAGGCAGATGCTTTCATGTGGTCATGTTATTGCTTTGAAATCTATTTCTCTATTCAAAGGTGCAGATGAGCAAAGCCTGCACTGATTTGGCCTTTGGTTCATCCACAGTGCGTGCTGAAACTTGTTTGCTTGCTGGGTAACATCAAACAGAAGGGACACTGGAGAGGTAAAAAGGAAAGGCTTTGCCCAATGAAACATTTACATGCAGGAGGAAGGGTTTAACATTGCCCTGTTGGCTGATTTCAATTCTTTCCTGTTCTTCCAGCTGAAGGGCTTCCCCAGGTGTATTACTTCGGACCGTGTGGAAAGTACAATGCCATGGTACTAGAGCTGCTTGGTCCTAGCTTGGAAGACCTATTTGACCTCTGTGATAGGACGTTCACTTTGAAGACGGTATTAATGATAGCCATCCAGCTGGTGAGTAACGCTGGGCAGGGCTCTGCCCACAGCCTCCACGATGCTGACTTGTGTTTATGTCAGTCTTGGGTTAGCTGAAGGATGGGGTTGGTGCAGTGCAAGTATCAGGGTGTCTGCTGGTTGGAGAGACTCTCGTTCCATTTTAGAATTGCAAAATGGGACCTTAAAGCTCATCCAGTTCCAACCCCTGCCACGGGCAGGGACACCTTCCACCAGAGCAGCTTGCTCCAAGCCCCTGTGTCCAACCTGGCCTTGAACACTGCCAGGGATGGGGCAGCCACAGCTTCTCTGGGCACCCTGTGCCAGTGCCTCACTACCCACATTGTGAAAAATTTTCTTCCTTGTGTCCAACCTAAATCTACCCTCTATGTCCATCTTAAAAAAGAAAGCTTCTCAGGTTTGAGAAGAGCTCGCTCTTATGAAGGGAAGGTCACAGTATGCTTATGAGCAAGCTTGCTCCTTGCGTAGCAGAACCAGTGAAGCTGGATTCCAATGGACTTGCATCCTGTATTCCCTACACACCCCTGCCCCAGTATCTACCCCAGCTCCCTCCCTCTGTTTGGACATCCCCAGAACATCTCATTTCTTACCCACTCCCCAGGACACAGGGAGCACAGCACCCTCCCACAGTCCTACCAGTTCTACCAGTTTGCTGCTACCAGGCTGCTCACAGACAGAAACCTCTCAGAGCAGTGGGAGCAGAGCAGTCCTTGTCCAAAATACCAGCATTTGAGATCTCTGCTTTGGTCAAATTTGGTCAAAATTGACCAACAGGTTTAAACCACTAACAGTTGGAAAGATACTGGCAGCATCACAGAGCCTCTAATTTACCTAAAAAGGGAAGGAACCAAGCTGAAAGTTGGAGCTTGCATTTGTGTTTGCATTAAAAATGGACAGGCTGAAAACTGAAGGTACTAAATGTGATGAGTGAATTTCCGTGAGTCCTTAGGGCCAACAGTTACCATTTCCATTTGGCTTGCTGGTCCCTACCTGTGGTCTGCAGGCACCCCAGAGGCACAGCAGAGGTGGGACTGTATATTCGTATTACCAGCAGATAGAAGTGCTAAAGGAAAGAGAAGGTGGTGAGGGAGTGAGGAACACAATCCTTTCTAAATGAACCGAAGCTGGCCACAGCAGAAGCTCAAATGGAAAATTTGAGACTTCTTCAAATGGAAAGTTTTAGATTTCTTCTTTGCAGATGCAGAAGTTTGAGCAGCACCTGCCTGGTAGCGGGTTCATGAAGTTGTTGTCCTACGGCTGAGTTTTGTGGGGTTTGAGTGTTCCTTCGTCAGTGGAAAACCAGTTTATAGTATTGGTTTTTATTAAATCAACTGTCAACAGATGACAAAGCCTTGGATATAGCTTGTATGGCCTTTTGGTTGTAAAGGTGTAAAACATAAAGATGTATTCCCATGTGACTGCTGGAGAAATCAGGATTGTCATAGCAGTGTCCATCTGCCTTTCACTAAGCTCTGTACTTGGATGGTCTTCACTGGTACCATCTGCTGATCCTCAACCAGCCTGCCAACTCATGTAGACAGTGCTACCACTTTGAGAAACAGATACTTAGGGTGGTTCAGGGGCACACCAAAAGCAGTCACAGAGGAGCTGGTGTTCTCCAAAAGGAGCATGCAGTGCTGCTCCTCTTTCCATGAGGAGATGTTTTAGGACCTTCCCAGTCTTCTCAGGATGACATGAATTATCAGCTTGGAACATATGCATTTAAGGAGACAGATTTAGCATCTTTAGGTGTGCCCCATCTCCTTCCCTGAAGGTTTCCTGGGAGAAGGGTTCACCTGGTCCTTGGAGACTGGTTTTCTGACAGGCTGGCACTTACTGCTCAACTGGAAAGAAAACCCTTCATCCAGCCACAAGGCTTTGGGGGAAATTGTCTTGGATTTCTCTTAGTTCCTATGCTAAATTGTTGCTGTCCCTGTGTCGCACTCCAGTGTGAGAGACACATCAGAGAAAGAAAGTTTGACTGTCAAATTCAGTGGGTTTGCCTCCATAAAATATGCTCTGCTCTTGCTTTTGACTTGCTTAAGCTGCTGTATTTCTAACCACAGGTGTGAGGAGATGTAAGACTTCACTGCCAGAATCCAGTGTGATGCACAAGCAGTGTTTCTCTTCTCTGCTCCTTGATATGCCTGTTAACAAGCCTAGTGCCCAGGGAGACCTCCAGAAGTGTGAATGGCCCGGTACCACACAGACAGCAGAGAGGAGCACCCTGCCCTGATGCAGGGAGTGAGGGACAGCTCAGCACATTGCAGAACACCGTTGCTCTGGTTCATTTCCCACCAGAATGCTATCAAATAAAGCAATACTACTTGTCTGGGAGGCTCCTCTGCAGCACGGAGCTCAGGGAGCTCCCAGGAGAGCATCCCAATGCTCGAAGTCACCTTGGTGCTGCCTCTCCTGCCTTGGGCTTGATCCTCTCCGAAGGAAACATCTGCCATGGATGTCTTTGCACTTGTTGGAGCAGCAAGGCTGGTGGGATGTTACGTGCCCACCCCTTTGTCCCCTAGATCTTTCTCAACCTCACTTGCAAATAATGATCCATGTGTCTTTAGGAGCATCCAGTCCAGCCTCTGCTGTTTGTGTGCTTCCTTGCCATTGCCTGCTGCAGGCTCAGCTTGACAGCAGCCAGCTGCTGCTTTCAGGGTCCCATTTAGCTGCCTTCTCCCCCCTCTCCTTCTTTAAGCCTGACTGAACATCTCTGACACATCTACATATGTGCTGTGTGCTGGAACTAGGCAGGAATTTGGGATGTGGTGTGGTGGCACTTGGTCTCCTGTTTTTTATGTACAGTGATCAATTTTTAACCAGGGGCATCCCTGAAAGATGTTTTTTAATACACAGACATGCTTGGCTGGTCTTACTTAGCTTGGTAGGTAGCAGCATCTCAGGACTGGGGTTGATCCTTTAACTCTACAGATGTTAGAAGAAAGGGAAGCCCTGTAGGAGAAACAAATACATTGTCATTGCTCTAAGGAAAGTTGCTTGTGAGTATGGGAGAATTTAAACATGGTTTTACGTCAAAAAGACTCTGCTGGCTGCGGGAGATAGAGACTGGACGACAGTGAGTCTTCAAAGAGAACGTGGTCTGGAATCTTTTCAGTTGAGATGACACAGTAGGAAGGTCTGCCTCAGCAGGGGGATGAGCCACACAGCCCCTCCGGTTTGGCAGTAGGCTTGCATGTACTTCTGGTGAGCTGCATTGTGTCCAGAGCTGTGGCAGCAGCTTATCAAGACAGCGTGAGTTGAATCAGAAGTACTCTTGGTCTGGTGCACCATTTCATACCTCTCAGTGAGAACCTGCATTGAAGGAGTCATCTATATTCCTTCCTGGTCAAAGTCTTCCAGTTGTGTTACTGCTGTAACTTGAGGGTCTCCAATGCTTCACGTTGCTCTGCTAAGAGCATCAAACTGGAACTGCTTCCTCCATCGTCTGAGTGCAGCCAACTAGATCAAGCAGTTGTTCCTGAACAAAGCAAAGTTTGCCAATTAAAAATGTTCACTAGCATCAGTCCCTAAAGCCCATAAACTGGAAGTCATCGGTTTTATAAGGAGTAACTGTTATTTTCACCCTTGCTTTAAGTGCTTGCTGTTAGGTCCAGTGTGCCTGGCACTGGGCAAATACTTGCAGCTGCAATCTGGACCAAGTCACAGTGAAAGGTTTTTTGACTGGTGACCATTAAATCATCTTGTGTAACAGACACCACACCAAAGCAGGCTTTAAACAGGAGGAATTCTTTCTCGCTGCTGATCTGATCTATATTCAAGCAGGTGATGGTGTAGAAGGGTTCAAATTTATCAGAAGAGTCTAGAGATGGGGTTGCCATCAAGATCAAGAAATACCTTTTTGGGGGAAGAGAGTTCATTACACTTGCTTCCTTAGCAAGAGAAAGGAAAATAAAAGCATGGGTTGCTTTGCCATCTGGTTAAATGTCACAAACATCCTCTCATCTCCCAGCTGCAGCACAGGGGTCCTGCTGCCTGCTTGGGGGGGCTCTCCCCTCCTGCTGTTTCTCTGACATCTGACATGGAGATTTGTGGCTCTGAAGATGGACTCTGCTGGCCATGGCCATGGAAATCCTGCTTTGATTTGCAAGCAGAGTCTCCCACCCACCTCTAGTATTCTATGCCCTATGGTAAAATGCCCATGTCTGTTCTTATTAAATAAGACAGGAGATGTTAACAGTGCTTCACAGTCACTGTTTTTCCAGTGTAAAAGCAGTTACAACAGTTAGTACCAGTTCCTTGCAGTGGTTTCTCTGTCTGTAGAAGAAGTAATGCATGGACATTAGAGCCTGTAGTTCAGTCACAAAGGAGTGGACATAGTGTCTGCAGCCACACATTTCTGGAGTGGGAACTCCTCCTCTCCTTCAGCTGTGCAGTGGTTTGAGTCAGGCTGAGGGTGATGCAGTCTCCAGCACAAGAAGCCACAAACAGAGTGAATGTCTTGTCAGGGCGAGTAAAGCACAGACAGGAAACATCATTCTGACCTGGAGAGCATCTTTCAGCCATCCTTGGCAATGCGCAGCTCCAGCAGGACATCCTGAAGCATCCAGGCAGGTGCAAATAAAAGAAAAGGAATATGAAAGACTCAGCAGCATCTTTGTGCCTGTGGTGGAGGTGAAGTGGCTGTCCTGGCCAGTGCAATTTGCTATGAGTTTTTAAGGAACAAATGGTTTTTCAGGCTGTTGGCCATTTCAACAGCTGAGCTCCTCTGGTAACAGGGACAAATTCAATGAGCCAGCCAGGCTCTGTTTGAAAGCTTGTTGTGTATGGAGAGGACAGGAAATGCTTTGTTCCAGTTTTAAGGGTTGCATCTTAATTTAAATGGCCTCCCGACATACCTTTTTGTCTTCCAGCACTGCTGTGTCCTGTAGGTGATTCAAAGCTGAAGAATGACTGAAGTGCAGAGCATCTGCTGTGTTCTGCATCAGCCCAGAATTGATTAGGAATAATGGCTGTTAGCCCTGAAACCCATTTTCTCAGCACAATGAAATAAATCATTGCTTAGAGGGGAGGGGAGCGGCAACACATGCTGTTACCTTCCTTGAAGAGCCTCTCAGCAAGTCCTGGTTTTTAAGACTGGTTCGCCTGCAGTTTTCCCTGCCTGCTGCCCTCCCGGTACAGCAGGTTTCATTTTCTGAGGAGTGCTGCCCCCTCCTGCCTGTTGCCTCTTTCGGAGTGCTGGAAATGCAGCAGGTTTTCCTTAGGAACAGGCTATCCGTGTGCAGGAGGTGCCGAGCTCCTGACAGCATTGACCTGGTGCAGACCCACTCAGGAGCCAGGGACTCCCCGCAGGGAGCTCCCGCTGGTGGCTTTCACCTTAGATGCTCCAGCACGATGGTGCGGCACTGACCTCTGCAGACTGACACTTAGTGCAAAATGGGGAGTCAGAGCTCTGCAATGGTCTCCTCACGCTGCAAACCTGCAGACAGGGAGGCTCAAACTGCCTTCCTAAGGAAGCATCTTGCTTAAAACAGCCACCATGCCCTACAGTGCGCAGGGCAGCTGCAGCCCAGGACGGCCACAAATGGGGATTCACGTGGTTTCAGTTAAACCCTAAGAAGGTAATAAATTAAATGAAATTGTGAGTTATTTCCAATTGGAATAATCTCTTAAGTTAGGAACTCAAAGGAGAACTGCTTGGCGACCTGTCCAAACTTCACCTGCAATATATTTAGTTTCAAAAGCAAGATTAGCCAGGTTGGATGAAGCCTTGGGTGACATGGTTTAGTGTGAGGTGTCCCTGCCCATGGCAGGGGGGTTGGAACTAGATGATCTTAAGGTCCTTTCCAACCCTCACTATTCTATGATTCTATGATTAATGATAAGCATCTGGATGAGGGGTGTTGTTAGAGAAGTAGTGACCCTCCATCAGCTTGGAAGTGGGATCCCCTTTTCCCTTCCCTTCTCTGTCAGACTGCCAGAACAAAGTGAGTCAAAAGCTGGAAAATATTCCAGCTATTCCTACTTGACAGCCGATGAGGTTGTGACTTTTAGTCAGCATTGAGGATCGTAAGGCTTCTACCTGCCCCATATCCCCCTCCATGAAGAATCTGGCATGTCTTAAGACAACGTATGGGTCGAGGGAGGAAGGTGGTAAGACACAGAGCAACAAGGGACAGCCGTGGGCATGGGAAGAGCTCTTGGTAACCAGTTTAGTATGTTTAAAATCAGTACAAAAATGCTGCTGCAAGTCCCCATGGCATCATTCCAAATGCTGTGTCCTGGTGGTACTGTTTCAGAAACAGCCTTTCTGTTTTCCTGCGGACATTTCTGTAGGATTCAAGTCAGGGAGCACTGTATGGTAGCCACAGAAAGGAGGGGGTGACAGATCCCTCTTCTTACTCCATCAGAGGAGCTCCATCCAGTTCCAAGCATAACTGCTGCCATGGTTCTTTCCATCTGTGGTTGTGTTTCTGAGCTGAGGGCTGGTGATGGGTATCAAAACCTCACAGCCCCGTTAGCCAGGAGAGCATGGGGGCTGCTCTGCTTGCAGGTAACTTTTGCTCCTCGCTTTGCAGATATCTCGCATGGAGTACGTGCATTCGAAGAACCTCATCTACCGAGATGTCAAGCCTGAAAACTTCCTTATCGGCCGGCAAGGCAACAAGAAAGAGCACGTCATTCACATCATAGACTTTGGATTGGCAAAGGAGTACATTGACCCGGAAACCAAAAAACACATACCTTACAGGGAACACAAGAGCTTAACTGGAACAGCCAGATACATGTCCATCAACACTCATCTTGGCAAAGGTCTGTGTGGTTGGTGGGAGCTTGCCATGACCTCCAGTGGTAGCTTGGCTTACTATGGCTCGTTCCTCCCCTTTGAGCTGTTTGTAAACCTCTGCCTTTACAGTTGTGAGGCTTTTTCTTTTCCCCTTTTGCGGGATTGAGACAGCTGAAATGTTGAAAGCCTCATAATTATAGTTTTTATTAGGAACTAAATAACTGGAAGCAACCCAGCACTGATAAAAGGCAAGTAGGCGGGTAGTAACTGCTGCACTAAATGATGACCAAATAGATTTTTATAGCACAGCTCTGTGCTGAGCTGTAGAGCATCAAAGTAACCAGGACCTTCAGTTATGGGTGTTGAAGTTGGATGTTCCTTGACCTAATAATTGGTTGGAGAAAATTACTGATTTAACTCATTTTAAACGTGGCTTTCATTTCCTCTCCTCACTGCATTCTCTCGTACCAGAAAATTACATTTCTGTGGCTGAAAGGCAAAAAACCTTATTAAATGTTTATATTCACTTAAACCCATAAGAGCAGTAAGATAATGGAATATTCTCTGAGTAGCCTCCCAGGTATGTGATGAAGGCATCGCTCGCATCTTGTGGAGAGTTCGGTCCCTTTGGGTGTAAGGAGGGATAAGTCCAACTTCTAATCTTGAAAAGGCTGCTGAAGGGTCAGGAAGGGATGGAGGAATGAGCAGCTGCAGTGAGAGCAGGCTTGGATGGAAGGTAGATGTGGAAGAAGATGTGTTTGCATTTGAAGTACACCATGTGCCTTCTGTAGGACCCATTTCTCTGCAGGTGTTGCAGCTCAGGCCGTGGCTGGTGCAGGGAAGAGTCAGTCTGGAAGGCTGGCTGCTGGCTGCTGATGTGTGCTGGGCTGGGCTGGGTCTGCCCAGAGCAGCTCCATGGGGTGGCTGCTTTGCTGGTGAGACCCAGGTGGAGTCAGTCCCTTCACGTTCCAGAACAAAGGAGTCTTACTGCCATTTTCCTGAAAGATGAATGCACTCAACCATCTTCCTGAGCAGTTCATCTGCATCGCTGCACTAAATTACCTAGGACATTCTCTTGGGTTTTATTCCCTTTTTACAGCTATATCAGGGTAACTTGCAGGAACTGTCATCTCAATTCCTTCTGCTGAGTTTTCTCACCCCCACCATATTCTGAGGATTAAATTTGCTGCTGGTGGAGAGCCATGCTATGCCAAGCGCTGCCACCTTGCAGATGATGCAGCATCGGGGACAGCTCACACACAGTTTGTCATGGCGTGTGGGCTGGATCTGTCCCAGCTTGTGGCCATGCAGCACGTTATTTGTTTAAAATTCAGAGGAGAGGAGGTTGCATAAAATCAGCCTGCAAGCTCAGCAGACCCCAGTCTGCATGATGCCGCCCAGCACAGCAGCAGTCCTATGCTGTTACACTCCACATTTGTTGTTCTGTCTTATATCCTCCCATGGGTTTTTTTTATACATTTTTGTTAGCTGATGCTTTTTTCCTTTGGCTCGAGGCCTCTTTTTTTCTCCCCTCATTTATAATCATAACATCTGCATGGCAACAGCAGTAAATGTTTCACGAGGAAAAACAGTGCTAAAGGAGCTATTTTTGATCTGCTCTGCTGTGATGAGCTGCAGAAGCAATTGAGAAGGGATTGCCACAACAACATGGTAGTTCCCTGCAGCTGGTTGCAAGCATCCCTTGTCTGTTTCTATGTCATTCAGAGGAAATAACATCATCCAGCACCACATCACAGGTGCACCCTCAGCACTGGCAGTCTGGAGAACTGGGGAACTGCTTTATTCCTCCTTATTCTTCTCATCCAGTTCACCTAATGCTGGGCAATGTGTCTTACAGCTCCCATGTTATTTTATGCCTTCTGTCTGATCTTTTCTTCATGTATTTTATGGGGTTTTGTAACAGCTTCTAGATGGTTTTTCACGAGATCTGAGCTATAGGTAGCAAGTGAACTTCCCTGTGATAACTGTATCTTGGAAGTAGGTGTAACTACTGATCAAGTCTCAGACCCATTCCTGCAGCTGCAGCAATAATTTGTCGTCTCTTGTGTTTTAGAGCAGAGTCGTCGAGATGACTTGGAAGCCCTTGGCCATATGTTCATGTATTTCCTCCGAGGCAGTCTGCCCTGGCAAGGATTGAAGGTAGGTTTGAGCTTTAGCTTGTGCCCTTTGAAACTTTGTCTAGTCTCTGCCCAAAGGAGAACCTGGTGGGGAAACATTTCCAAAAGTCAGTCAGAAGCACTGTCCTCTCCTCTGTGTCCTTGAAGCCCAAAAACAAGGCGTTAGCTTTACCTACAGGAAAGATTTTAAGATAGAAATATGTTACCTGTTGCTTCAAGTTGCCATTAGCTGAATGGGTACACATCTGGAGAGAGGATTGAGCAGAGGCAGATGAGTGGCTGGAACTGGGACAGCAGTGAGAGAGCTGTTGAGCTGTGGGAGCAGCTTTGCTGGAGCATGGAGCTGCCCCGAGCTGGGGTGCGACTGGGACACAGTGGTTGTTTATGAAGTCCTGGTTACAGCACACAGTCCCCCAGCTGCAGCTGTGAAATGTGGTTATAACAGGAGCAGTTTGATGGGTTTGCATGTGCAGATGGACTTCAGCTTGAAAAACGGGTTTTCAGGCAGAACTATGGAGCTTGGCTTCCCTCCAGAGGCACTGGACATTCAGTGCTTCGAAGTTTATGAAATGCCATGTACAATGTGGAGGGCTGCAAGCAATTGAATTACAGCATCTGCAGCTGACATCCGTCAGCTGAATTAGCTAGTAGTAAGTCATTTGCTGGCTCTGAAGCTGTTGGTAGCTGCACCTTCACTCCTCCATCACTTTCTTGATGATTAAGCTACTGTGTTCAACTTTGTAATTGCAGTGAGTGAAGGGATCGAACTCAATCAGGTTAGGAACAGGTTTATTAATGAAGACAGTAACTCCTGTTGGTACTGTTGGAAAAAGGAGACAAGCGTTTGGGCTCACAAGCGGCTCAGCAGAGTGCTGCTATGGTCAGTGGCAGTGGCTTGTGTGATAGACCTTGTTAAGCTGTTTTGTCACCATCTATCCAGAGTTAGTCTCAGCTTAGCCTTATTGACATGTGCCAGAAATGTTGGTGACAACTCATAAAAGCAAAGAAAGACTTTATCAGGCATGAAAATAATTGTTGAAAGAAATCAGAACCTCTCTGACTTTACTTCACACCTCTGTAAGTATGTTATTCTATTACATAGCTTGTTTCTGGCTTGGTTGACCTCATCTGCTTTAAATTAATCCTGTAAATTATTCTTAAAGTAATTCCAGGCTTAGATAAGGTTCTACAAAATTTGCTCAGTTCAGTGCTGAACTTGTTAAGAATTAGTTGACCTCTTCTTGAAGTCCTTGCTCCAGAACAAACACAGACTCTTCAGCTTGATCTTCACTCTTCTAGGCTTCCCCAGCTTACACGTTTGGTGTATACTGTCAGTGCTGAGGTCTTGAGAGAATATCTTACAATGCTAATGATGCTGCTGCCAGGTCTGACTGGCATGCTTTAAGATAGAGGCGCCAACAGGAGCAGAGTTCTCTGCTTCAGGGGGATGTAGTTGGGAAATCTAGCTGAAGCTTGTTTCATTTTCTTGGTGACCAGATGTTTAGTCAGTGCTGCCTCGGTGATAGACAGTTTGGGGGTGAAAGGAGAGGCACTATGGGAGTAGATGGGATTTGGGAGAAGCGTGACTGATGTAAACTAGTTATCTGTGTGATTGCATTCTATTGTACACAGAAGTCCCAAATTGCTGATGCAATTTATCTACTTTTATGGTTGGTTTTGAAGGCATCTTGATTGCCGATGGCTCTAAGCCCAGGACAGAGTACTGATGTGCAACTATAATATATGCAGCTTTGTTTTCTTGTCCCATGCAAGCTTTTCTATACAGTCCTTAGGACTGGGCTGATAAGAAATTAGCCTTGTAAGACACTAACAAGTGTCCTTCCTTTCAAGTACTGAAGATGTTTCACGTGTCCTTGGATATTCTTTGCCGACAGCACGTAAAACGCATAGTGACAGTTACAACAGGGTGAGATAATATTCCTGCTAGTGTAGTCTAGGGTGCAGCTCAGTTACAAGTAACATCTTCTGATACCACCCAGAACTGGTATTAAATACCTTGTTTTTCTTCCCATACAGCATGTCGTTTATCACATGGTTGAACTCTTTCTCCACAACTGTTTTGTCTTTGTGCGCTACAGGCTGACACCTTAAAAGAGAGGTATCAGAAGATTGGGGACACAAAGAGAAACACTCCGGTTGAAGTTCTCTGTGAGAACTTTCCAGGTAAAGCCCTGATGGAAACATTTGAGTGAAGTAGGAGCTGGACATATGTTAAATATGGTGGTTCTGAGCTTCTCTGGCAAAAACTATTTGGATGATGTGTATCCATTATGTTGTTCCTCAAGCTGGCAAACAACTGGAGCTGCTGCTATAAATGCATGCAGCCTGAGGGGCTTGTGGCTGTGGCTTAAAATGAGCATAACTCTTCTCACCATGGAGGCTGGACAAGGCTCAAGAGCCTCATGTTCCTGCTTTGCTTATTGGCTTCTTTCCAAAAGGGAGCCTCACTGTTTTCCCTCTCCCACGTGACTGTGTTGGATCTACTGAGTTGATTATATTGCAGACTGAAGGCTTTACAGGTATTAAAACTGTAGGTGGCCAGCTTAGGAGATGGGATGGCGTGTCTGTCCTTGAATTCCACCTTCGGACAACAGTCTTGAGCAGAGTGTTATCAGATGCTTTTGAGAGTGTTACTAAAGATGTTCTAGCCAAGCCCAACACCTTTTCTGCAGTTAAACAAAAGTTCAGCTCGGAGCTAGGAGAGCAGAGCACAGTTAAAGCTCTCCCTGGTACCCTGTGACCTACCCTGTGGGGTTTGGTTTTTTGGAAATCGTGAGCACCCAGGTCCCCACAATGAGTCCCCATTCCCATTTTGTCACATTGCTCTTTTCCAGCATGACAAGCAGCAAGCCTGGAAGGGGATTGTTGTTCATTTAAGTCATGCTAATTCCCCAGATGTAGTTACATCCCAAATCCACCTGGTTTTGAGCAAAACAGCTTCAGGTTGGCTCTTCTCATCTTTTTCCCCAGTACTGCTTTCTCAGAGCTCGGTCACACCTGCAGGTCTGGGCTGAAGGGAGATGAGAACTTATTTCTGTTCCTTTCTTACCTGAAACCTCTTGGTCTCCACCCTTCAGAGATATTAGAGGAAGAAGAGATTACCTTTCTCCACCTCCTTTTTTCCATGTTTTAGCTCCATGTGACATGCAGGCTGCAAGCCTCAGGCAGAGTTAAGTATTGATGAGCAATGCTGCTCTTTGTTTTGTTAGCTAAAGGCAAAATCCATGCTGGTGTATCAGCCATACTGCAGTGCACAGACTTGTGCCTTATACCGAGCTCTGCTCAAACATTCTACCTTGGCTTAGGGAGAGCTGGGAAGGGGCAGGACATGAGTTACCAGGGCTCAGTCCTCTGTGCATGCAAAGTACAACCCAGATGCAGGAAATCCATTAATTAGCTTAACACCAAACACTGTTCTGTGTGTGCCAGGCAACCGAATGTTGCAGCCTTCCATTCGAAGTCTTGTTCTGAATGGTCAAGGCTCTGACTGATGTAATGATATTGGGCAGCACAGAGCTCTGGGTAGCCAGACCTGGCTGTTGCTGGAGCTCACAGGGGCCACAGGGTGCCCACCAACATCTCCTGCTTTCCTTCCCAGATGACATTCCTGCAGCTATTTTTAATGTCTATGTGCAACCGTACACATGAGCATCCTGTTGGCAGGTTCAGTGAGTTGGCATTTATGGTGGTTTAGTGTTTGTTTTTACCCAAATATACAGAGTAAAACTTGTGGAGCTCAGATCTGAGGTGGAGCAGCAGCTCTCTGGAGCTTAGGTGGGACTTCCATTTTTGCTTGAGAAGTGTTTGGATTGATTTTACTGTTACTAAACCCCACTATTTTTATGGGAAACGCCAGAGGTAGCACTGACAGCCCAGACAGTTCTCTCACAACGTGATGCTTGTTGCTAAAACACAGACCTTGGTTTCTAACAACTTGTTCAGAAGATTCAGAATAAAAGTAGACTATTATTAGACATTGGGCAGGGCGGGAGGGCTCTGGAAAGCTGAGTGAGATTCATTCAGCAATAGAAGACTGTTGAGTAGGTCACTGATGGTCAAGACTTATGGGATATCCTCAGCCTCTGTCAATCCGCATGGCTCATCTGAACCTAGCAGGGCCAGGACAACTCATGTCACTGGTGATGCAGCCCTCAGCCCAGCTTTAAGCCTAGTACCATGGGAAAGCCTCGTTGGAGTTAATGAGCACATAGTTCCAGTGTGTGTGTTGGTTTTGAGAGGCTTGTGAGTGAAGGAGCTCACGTGTGAGCAGAACTGACGCTGCTGCTTCCTCCCCCTTTCCAACAGAGGAGATGGCCACGTACCTCCGCTACGTTCGGCGGTTAGACTTCTTCGAGAGACCAGACTACGATTATTTACGAACCATCTTCACAGAGCTGTTTGAAAAGAAAGGCTACACCTTTGACTACGCCTATGACTGGGTTGGCAGGCCAATTGTAAGTTGTCTGTGCAAAACGCAGGGCCTGGCCTTCCAGGTGCTGCTTCCCACCACCCGGCTCTTTGTGCCTGAAATCCAAATTAATACCAGTGAGCTTAGGATCAAGTCTTTCACTTCTTCTCTCTAGCTAACATGGGCTCAACATAGTGAGATGTCCTGGTGTGGTGTTCAGGGGGTTCTTGCAGTGCCTTGAAGTTTCCCTGAGGGGCAGAAGGCCCCTTCCGACCTCTTTGGACTTGCCCTGGTGGGAATTCAAACCTGATTTTCCCACTTGTGGCAATGAACGTGACTAGTTTTAATTTCCTCTAGTCTAGCAGAGGATTTGAAACCAGTATCTAAAGATATCCATCTTGAAGCAGGAGAGTGTGCTTGTGGCCTCAGCACTGAATGATGGAAGACCTCTAAAATGGTCAAGTTCTCACCAAGCCATATGGAGATCTAGGCAGGGCGGTGACAGATGCTTGGTGAATAGTAACAGCAAATCAGTTCTAACCACAAAAGATCTCAGGGCTTACCCTACTCTGGAGGCTTGAGCCAGCTCTTTATAGTGCATTAATAGGAAACGTGGGAGTAATCAAGCTCCATTTAGCAGTTCCCTGACACCAGATCATGACCGTAATCATGATCTCCTTGCGTCAATTCTATTCTCAAAAGCCATTTACACTCAAAAAAACCTTGGCCAAAAGATGTGTCATGGGGAGATCTGATTGAAGAGTCCAAAGCTCTGCTGCTGGCTGCTTGTCGCTTGTGTTCTGTGTCATTCTGCTGGTGGCCTTCTCGCTAATGGCCAGTTACCACACACTGGCAAAGGCACCCATCAATGAATTGCCACTGGTGCCAGATCATGTGCCTTCAGTCCTAAACTGGGCACCATTACTGGTGATTTACCATCCCAGCTATATTTAACATTACCCATGTTTACTGCATCGACAACAGTTCATTTTCCTAAGACATCATTCCCTTTGTGAATCATGATTTTTCGCCTCATTTTTGTTTAATTACAAAGGCAATTGATAAAAAGCACCTTGTAAACCAAGCATGATGGTGCTGACAACTGCAGTGGTTGCCATGGAGATTCTGGTGTTGTGAGCAGGGATTATGACTTTGGGGAGAACAGAGCAGATGAAGCTTTTATTTTAACACGTCCTGTTTCTATGCAGGCGTGATTTTTAGAAGTAGCAAGACGATGAGATGAGGAAAACAAGTCCGTGTTTTCAGTTGTAATAATCTACGTGAGACACACAGTATCTGACACCAATACAGGGGCTGAACTGTATCTTTTTTATTCATTTTTACACAAGAAATTTGGTGCTGGTGTCCAACGTCAAATCACGTGTGCACCAAATCGCAGGGATTTTAGAGCCCTGGCTTTAAATATCCTTGTTTTGATGTTTTTCTGCTTCTGCCTGGTGGGAGCCAGCCTTACAAGTTAGATTTGCACATGGGAGCAAACCTGGTGGGAGAGAGTGAGGAGCATTTTCAACATGGGCTTCACCCTAACAAACACCTTCTTTTCCAGCCTACTCCAGTGGGATCTGTTCATGTAGATTCGGGGACGTCTGCAATAACAAGAGACAGCCACATCCATAGGGATCGGCCATCACAGCAGGCCCTTCGCAATCAGGTGCGTTGCTCACAGCTGCTCAGCCCTACCTTGTTTGGCACCTCTGACTTCCTCTTGGACCAGAGCAGTAGGAGCCATGTGCCATTAGAGGTGGATGGGGCTGACTCACCTTGGTCATGGCACGCACAATTTCTGCTTCTGGAGACTGTGATTTGAGCAGAATTTTGTTAAAGCAACAGGTTGCCAAATTACTGTATTGGCCAGTGGAATTTCTCAGGATCCTGAACTAAGTGGAGTACAATTTGGAATGGGTCCTTTTTCTGTAGTGTGTGGGTAAGCTGTTTAAGTCAGCTGTCCAGCCTGGTCAGATTACCTCAGCTACCTGGCCACAACATTCTTTTGGGAGCTTTTACTCACAGCATGTAGACAGTTGTGGTGATGGCAGCCTGCCCCCAGGTGCCCTCTTCCCATGGACCATGCCTTAAGGATGTGCGTGTCCCCTGTACTCCCAGTGTATCCTTCTCAGGGTGTTCAGCTGACAGTGTGTTGCAGAGCATACACGACTGGCAGAGTAGGTCCCCTTGGGGAGGTTGGGCATCGCAGTCTGGATCAACTGCCAGGTTTTGAATATGAATTTCCCCATTTTTCCTTTCTAGTTGTAATATCTTGTTGGTGTTGAGAGTTTGGATTTTCTGTATTAACAGAACTGAGCAGAAGTTCAGTAGATCTCCAACTGCCGGCTCCTAGCTAGAGCTGTTGGTGCTCTTACTTCCCAGTGAGTGGTTCTGGGCTCGCTCTGCTCCTCTAACCGCTGTGTGCTGTTCTAGCTCCTTGTCTGCCACCTCTGCTCCCACTCAGCTCACAGAGGCTGGGGTTTGTGAGTGCAGATCCAAGTGTAAGACGTAATAACCTGTCTGGGCTCAGCTTCCCTTGTTCCATGTAGCTGGGCTGTGATGGTAGAGCAGCTAACATAGACTAGACTTGATCTCAGGCCATCAGCTACAATCAGGATGAACACCCCTCTTTAGAAGTGTTGCTTGTAGGAAGCTGGGTTGTTTGAAGCCCATGTGCTGTACTGTATTTATGCATGCTGATCAGTGTGGACTGGTTTGGGAGTACTGGTAAAATAATCTGCTTTAATATATTGCCTGATTAATACATTAACACCACCACCCCTTTTTTGGGTGGCAGTCTCTAGTTGCTTTGACCACAGACCTTCATATGAGGCATCTTGTTTCCTTTAATGGACAATGATGCCTGGCTTCATTTTCAAGCAGGTTAGTTCACAAATGTAGTATGTCACCCAAAGAAGTCTGTCCTAGTCCCAAAATATTATGCAGGCAGCTTCAGTCCATGTTCTTCCGAGCCTCACAAATAGCCTTGATGCTGTAGTGCAGCTCTTGTCACTTTTTCTTACCTAAACATGATTTAGGATGCTGATGCTGAATTATTTAATAGCCAAACAGGCAAGGGAAATCAGTTTCTTCTCACCAAAACACGAACAACTCTCTTCCAAAGGATGTTTCTTTCAAGCACTGAGCAAATAGTTTCTCTAAAGGAACAAGCAGAAAAACTAAACATCTCAAGCAGTGAGTTGAGGACATGGGTTTGGGTCAAGTGACTGTTTGATCTCCAGATTTAATGGCCTTAGTTTTGTTCCCAGGTGTAATAACTGCCAATTCTCTTTTATAATATTTGGTTCCCAGTAAAGATGCTAATAAAAAGTGTTCTTCTTTTTGTAGTCTTCCTTTAGGAAGTGAAGATACTTAACTGTAAAAGACAGATGCCAGAGACAGACTGTTCATCAGGGACTGTAGAGATAGGACATGGAGTGATGGGTTAAAACTTAAACAGGGGAAATTCAGGTTAGATATAAGAAAGAAGTTCTTCCCTGTGAGGGTGCTGAGGCACTGGCACAGGGTGCCCAAAGAAGCTGTGGCTGCCCCATCCCTGGCAGTGTTCAAGGCCAGGTTGGATGAGCCTTGGGCGACATGGTCTAGTGTGAGGTGTCCCTGCCCATAGCAGGGGATTGGAACACTTCCCTTTTCCTTTCATTTCTTTCTTTCCTTTCTGTTACACAGTGGCACTGCTCACCCGTGGTGGCAGGGAGTAACACAGACCAGGGCTGGGCAAGGGCAGGGCCTGTGCACCTCTCCTCGGTTAACTACTCGGCTTCACTGCTGATAACCTGGGGTTTATTCACTTGAGCTCTTGTTTCCTGGCCAGGACTGTGGTGTCCCCCAGGCCCATGTGCTCTGGGGACTCCGCTGCTTTGCCCTCTCTTGTTCAAACTGATGCTTCAGCTTTGAAACATTTGCTCACATTTTTCTACAGCATCCAGGGAGACACCTTTTAAATGTGTCCCATCGGTCACTTCAGGCTTCACTAGGTCCTCTGCTGTTGGTGTGAGGCTCACACACATCTTCCCACTCTTGGGAGTTGTTCCTCCAGCTGGTTGGTGGGGTTCGGTTGGGCTGAGATCCTCCTGGTCTTAGGTGGACTCTGGATGTGTTGTCATCAAAGCCGGGTGACCTGTAAGGAGCTTCACTTGCAAGTGCAAAGTGGTTCCTTTAATAAAACAGATACTATTCTAATAATTTAGTTGCCTAAAAGTTGCCTCTGTTGGGGGTAAAGAAGAAACTGTTGGCAAAAGTTTCTTATCTACTTTTCTGCAGAAAACCAAAAAGCCCCCAACCTTCCCTCCAGTCACGCAGGTGTGGTGGATGTTTCCTTCTGCACTGGACAGGTGAAGCAGTGTGTGAACCTGGCTTTTGGTGAAATAAAACGTCCCTTTGTTTTATGTTGTAAATTTGAGTTTAAAAATGCATATTTAGGGAGCTGGAGCCTGTGTATCTGATCTTGCTGCTGTGCCAAGTGCTCTGGGGTGTGTGACCTGACAGATATAGTTAAACATATTGTCAGTGGGTTTATTTCTATGCTGAAACCCATGGAAATGAAGCCATGTAAAGAAATAACTTCCTGACTAGATCTGACCTTACTCTTCATTTAGCAGCTAGAGGAGAAGAAATCCACTCTGCAGTAGATTACCACAGGCACTGCTCAAGTCAAGTATGAGATGTACTTGGTAAAGAGAAGTTTTAGCCCAGCTAAAAGTTAAAATGCCTTGCTTTTTGCAAAGAAACTAACTTACTAACACACACCCTTTGTTTCTTCCCCTTGTTCACCTTTTGCTCTCTGTTGTGTCTCTCTCGCGCTTCTGAACCTGTGAGCAGGCGTCATCAGATCGCCGAGGGGAGTGGGAGATCCAGCCAAGCCGGCAGACCAATACCTCGTACCTGACATCTCATTTGGCTGCAGACCGGCATGGAGGATCAGTACAGGTACCTCTGCCTCTTGATAAAGGAATTGTGTTAAATCCCCTGAATTTGCCTCAAATTGCAGTAACATCGTGGTCAGAAGAGGGATTTCCCAAGCTGGTTTGGTCCTGTCTGGTACACAGCGCTCAAGCCAAGTTCTGTGGGACACAAGCTGTGATGTCCAACATTGTTGCTGTTACCGTTTCAGCAAAGCTTTTCCTCTGAGAGCTAGTTTGAACTCAGATTTGCCAAACTGAGCACAGAAAGGAGTGAATGTTGGCAGGTCTGGTCTAGAGCACTTCCCATACAAGACAAGCTGAGATCATTGGGGCTTTTCAGCTTGGAGAAGTGAAGCTGCTTGGAGACCTCAGAGCAGCTTCCAGTGACTGAAGAGGGCTACATGGACGCTGGGGAGGGGCTCTTCATCAGGGACTGTCGTGATAGGACAAGGGGTGATGGGTTAAAACTGAAACAGGGGAAGTTCAGGTTGGACATACGGCAGAAGCTCTTCCCTGTGAGGGTGCTGAGGCGCTGGCACAGGGTGCCCAGAGAAGCTGTGGCTGCCCCATCCCTGGCAGTGTTCAAGGGCAGGTTGGACACAGGGGCTTGGAGCAAGCTGCTCTAGTGGAAGGTGTCCCTGCCCATGGCAGGGGTTGGAACTGGATGAGCTTATGGTCCTTTCCAGTCCAAACCATTCTGTGATTCTATGATATTATTCTGTATGGCACACCTCTATCTCCATCTTAGGGATGCTCTTAGGTAGTAAGAAGCAGCTGAAATGGAGTTTGTTGCATATAAACCCCTTTAATGTTAGGTAAATAGTTGAGCGGTTCCAGTTCAGGCTTGATAGGTGAGGTTCTAGTTGAATTCCTAATGCTTCATGGCAATGTAGGGTGTCTGGCTGGAGAAATGCACTGGGGTTGGAGGGGAGACGGGCTGCACTGCTGCTGCACTCGCAGGTGTGGTGACCCTGCTCTCTTGCTCCCCAGCGTGTTCTCATTTTAGTTTTGGATCCAGTGGCAGAGCAGCAGCAGTGTAAAGTCACGGTGGCTGCAAGTTGGATCTCTGGATAAGTGCTGGGGAAGGTGGATGAGCAGAGGATGCACGATAGTGCCAGACAGCATTAAAGATTGGCACTAGGGCTAAGACTGCTTCTGTTTATGAAACCATGCCTGCCTCTGATTGTCACACAGGCTTACCAAGCGAGTTTCTTGCACTACTGCCAGAGTAAGATGCTGGACTTGCTAGGGGAAGATGCAGGGGTCATTCAAGCAAACAGGAACTAGCTGATATTGCTGGCAAGGTGAGCTCTTTGGCAGAGGTTTGCTTGGAGAGCAGGCTCTAGTGTCAGACACAACACTGAAAACTGGCTCTGGTGAAATGGGAATTAGTGCCTGGAGTGGGACAGAGCTGAGTGCCCCTAAGTGAAATGTAGATTGGGTTGAAATTTTTTACTTATTCCTGATGTTTGGTTGCATTCAATGATTTTTTTGGCTTGATTAGCCACATTCCTTTTTCATTTAAAGATATTTTACTGAGTAGCAGAGAAACAGAAAGATAAAGAGGAACTAATGCATGTGTAGCTCTGATCTCAGATGTGAGCAGACAGTAAACTGGAGAAGTGTTCAAGGCCAGGTTGGACAGGGCTTGGAGCATCCTGGTGTAGTAGAAGGTGTCCCTGTCCATGGCAGGGGGTTGGAACTGGATGAGTTTTAAAGTCCTTTCCAACCCAAACCATTCTGTGACTCTCTGAATAGAGCACTAAGTACAGAATAGGTGGGTTAATTCATATTTTTTTATGTAAGGGAAATAATTTCCTTGTGCAAAGTCAGCATGAGCTCTGCCTCCCCAGGAACAGTACTCTGCCAGGGTAGCTACACAAAGCCTGACTTCGGGAGGGTTGCCTACCTGAGCAGTTTACAGACCTGTATGTGCCACTCTAAGCATTAAAATTGTGCTTATCTGCAGCTAAGATCTTCTGCTGTGCACGGCTGCTGGGCTGCAGCTGCTTAAATTGTTTCTCAACAGAGGCCCCAGACCTTGCTGAACCCTTGGGAGGTCAGCAGTCCTGAGTGGCCATCAAGGCGAGGGTTGAATTTGCCATGTGCAAGTGAAGTGGCAGCACGTTAAAAAAAAGGAGGAAAATCAAAGCCTTTTGTAAAATGGAATTTAACAAGTAGCTGCAGAAGGTGTGGGAAGATCCCTGGGAATAGCACAATTAAGTGGTAGCATTTCATCAAGCTGTGTGGGAGGTGTGGGGGTCTGGAGAGCCTGGCTGGGCCCACAGTGTGATGAGTCTGGGAAGGGGGCTGTGAAGGGCTTGTCACTCGAGGAGAGCTTTGAAAACCACATGAGCTGAGTCCTGACCTCTCTTGGCAGAGACTGGCCACGGGACCTGTTCTGCAGAAACAGCAGCTGCTCTTAGAACTTAAGCTTCCAAAACAAGCAGATAGACTTAATAGTGAGGGGACATGTGCTTCAGTGGCTTCCTTCCCTTCATCTCTGATGGTCAGGTCACCCGGAGCCACCGGGAGTACCAGGTAGCACCTTGACCCCCCATATCAACACTGGGTCTTGGTCAACGTGGTCTGGTGGGAGGTGTCCCTGCCCATAGCAGGGGCTTGGAACTGGATGGTCTTAAGGTCCTTTCCCACACAAACCATTCTCTGATTCTGTAATAGCTTGTGTGTGTATATAGGGGTGTCAGTTAATCTTCACCCTAGTGGCTACCCCTCCCAAAGTGGCGTAGCCTCCCAAAGAGAAGAAGACCTGTGCTGGGCACAGGAGTGTTGAATTAGTCCCCTGCCTGCTGTTCTGCTTGGGAAGAACCAGGTTGGTCTCTCCAAACCAGACATGTGATCCAAAGGCATCCAAGGATTCTGACAGCCTTCTAAGAGCGTGCAAAGAGACAGGAGCAAACCGTAGTTATTCTGCAGATTTCCCATTCCCACAGCATCCCTTGTCCAGGAGGGTGGAGGTACATCTTGTCCAAGGGATACGTGTCGTAACAGCGTGTTGGCTTGTGTTTCAGGTGGTCAGTTCAACCAACGGGGAGCTGAACGTGGACGACCCAACGGGGGCACACTCCAACGCACCGATAACGGCGCAGGCGGAGGTGGAGGTGGTGGAAGAAGCTAAGTACGTTTGCTTTCCAAATAGGCTTTCCACTGGTGTGGTCGTTAATCCTCCTCCTGGGAAACGAGTGGGGATGTTTACCCGTGGTGAAGTACTCGATGCTCGTGTCCCATGCCTTTTTCCTTGCATACTGCTGCTTTCGTGCATGGTGCCTTCAGTGCTGCTGCTGCTGCTTCTTTTTGACACTTGTCATGGCTGGAGAACGTAACTCTTACTCAGAGCATGTATTGAAAGATAGCAGTGTAGCACAAGTACCAAAATAATGTGAACTGATTTCAGGAATCCCGGTGAGCAGCCCCTGTTCCAAAAGGAGAACATGCTGCACTCGTGCTGAGAGTGTAGGAGTAGTTTGAGCACAGCTCAGTGAAGAGATTGTTGGTCTGAAAGTTCACACTTTATTTCTGGCTGCAAGAAATGGATGCCAGGTATCCAGAATGGTCCTGAAGTAACCTTTGCAGGGACAGGTAGTTTTCTCTGTGAATTCTCTTCGTCCAACCCAATGGAAGCTGAGTGAGAGAAACCAGAAGCAACTCCTGCTTGTGGGGGGGAGCCGTGCTTCCCCTGAGCTGACCTCTCCTCTGTAGCTTGCGGTCAAGACTGAGAACTGATGTTCGAAGTTGTTGCTTTGACCATTTTGGCCTCCTTTGCACACATGCTGCATCTGGCACCATCACGTCACTTTCGCATGATCCTCTACATGGGACCTTCTTGCTGCCTCTGAACTAGACCAGGACCCCAGCAGGTCATGGTGCAATCCTGAGACTCCCCGGGTGAGGGATAAATAGGCTCGGGGCTGTCTTTGAACTGGTTGGTGCTGTGACTTTGCCCAACTGCCAGTTTGACTGACGACACTGGTGTTGCTTGTCCCATGTTGTTTGTCTCAGCATTTGTGGGAACTTGAGTTAGGAAAGACTGTGGGAGGGTGAAGAGGAAAACTGGCAGGCATGGGAAAGCGTGTGTTGGTGGAAATGGTCCCCAGGTATGCATTAGTCTGAAGCCAGCTCTGGTTATCCCAAAGGTCTTCTGCTGTCTGTTACCTGTCCTTCAGGAAGCACTGGTGTGTGATCCTGCCGGCTGGTAGCTGACCTGGGCATGATGCTGGCAGCAACATGCCCGAGCAACAGACACACTTTCTGCTGCCAGCCAAAGGAGCGAGCCTTGATTTTGGTGCAAGCTTCTCATCAAGTACAGTGGTGGGTGGTGGGAGATCTTGAGGTGCAACTTGTGGACTGAGCAGTATTCCTCTTAGATATGGGTGCTGTGGCCTGCAGAGACCACCAGCTTGGCACCACAGGCTCTGTCTTGATCATACTAAAGTGGGGCCCCCCAGGCATGTGGCTTAGGATTGCTCCTAGGATGGGGAACGTTGCCACCCTTAACAGTTCTCAATACAAAACCCAGTGCAAGGAGGAGCCAGCTTTTAAGATCTGGCCACCTTCAGCCTGTGTTTCTGCAGCACCTTGTTGAGCGAGGCCTGGGTCCGAACCCCACATCTGCATACAGGGGAGATGTCAAGGCACATGAAAAGACTCAAGCCTTGTCTTGCAACACAGGGACCTCTTCTGTCTCTCTCCTGCCCTTCTTTGTGTGGTCCCAAGTAGGTTTTGGAGGTGCTGGAGAGCAGAGCATAAGGTGCTTTGCACTGACAGGTTTGGGGTCTCTTGTAACACCCAGGTGTAGTCCGCTTTGTTCTTCTTGCCACAGGGAGAGCTGGCTTCATCTTTCCTTGCATCTGTGATCATAAATCAGTTATATGAGGAGAGCAAAGGAGTTTTGGATTCTGCTGTGCAGTAAAGTGGGCCAGAAGGGGCTAGAAGGAGTGGGTTTGAGTGTTGAGATGTCGTAGCAGAAAGGTCTTTCCCTGGCACTCCCGGCAGGCAGAGGAGCTGTGCAAGTGCTTCTGCTTTGGGGTGTGCTGGAGATAAGCTCCTGATCCCAGCGTGCGTTTCACATGATTGCCACTGGATCTGCAGAGGACAAGAGCAGATTCCTCTCCTGGTGGCCCAGAGCCCCTTTCTCATCCCAACCCCAGATAAGAACCCCCTGGGGCCGGTGTCCCCATGGAAGAGAGGGGCTGTGTTTGTCAGAGGCCTGGAGCCCTGGGAAGCGTGGCAGCTCTCAGCGCACCGTGGCGAGGGTAGAGGTGGTGTGAGGGCTGGGGGGGGCGGCGGGCAGGCATGTGTGTGTCTGCCAGTCTGCACTGCATGTTTGCATGGCTGCAGTGACACGCTTTCATCCCACCTCTGTGAACTAATTGCTCTTTCTTCCTTTCTGTGTTTTTTCTCTACACTCTCTGTAGCTGCCTGAAAATGCTCAACTTGTGGTGAGTCCCTCTCTCCAGTCCACATGCAAGGGGGAGCGGACCAGACTAGACTGGGGTTGGCAAAACCAAACTGACCAAACCCTAAAAAGGCACAAAGTCAAAGCCAACCCAGAGCTGTTTTTGACCGTGCTGAGGACCACATGCAATACTGGGGAGGGTGGGGGCTATATCTGAGCAGCCGCATTAGGCTGAGCAATTCGGCTGATCTCGGAACTGATGGATGCAAAACATGGGTTTTAATCCTTTACTATTTGGCTTACCATCTCTCCCAAACTGTTAGGTCCATGAGCAGATGGTGTCTAATGGAGTTGGGCAGAGTCGGGGCCAGGCTTGCCGAGCATCTTGCGGGAATTCCTCACGCAGACGGTTACGAAGGGAAAAGCCTGAGCTGGGTATTGAGGGGAACGGACAGTCACTTCTCAGAGAGTTTCCTCTGAAGAAGCAGGGGCCTGTACTGTTAGAGAGGATGGAAAACAGGTCCATGGAGACCTTGTTGGTGACAGACCCCCTGCTTGGCGAGGGAGGATGGGAGATGGCTCCTTTCCAGTGTGCCTGCAGCTGCCAGCTAAGGGTGCAGGGGAACAGGCTTCTCCAGGAGGGAAAGGGCAGAAGGGTTGGGATTAGCCTCGCTCCAAGCCCAGCTCAGGCACGTGTACGGTTTTCTGAGGGTTTTGAAGTTTAATGTTCCCATCTCAAGTAGTCCCAAGGAGCTGTTCCCTCCCTCCTTGCCCCTTGGGGACACCACGTTCCCAGTAAGCTGAGGACCAAGTGGACGCTCAGATGAGGAGTTTGTAGGTCCCAGGGAGGGCTGATGGGTTAGAATCAGCACAGAGCAAGGTGACAAAGCCGTGTGCGGCGAGGAATGGCCTTGTTGGATGGGAGACTGACTGCCTCTGCCCTGCTTTCCATAGGCATTGCCTCCAATACCTCTGGCATCTCTGGCTTCTCTGTATGTCGTAGTCTGGGGCTGTTCTCTTGGGCATTGTCTGCATGCAGAGAGATCACGTTCTGTAATTGTCAGCCTGCCTTATTCTTTTATTTTGGTGTTTTGCCTCTGCCTGTCTGAACTGCCAGGGCTTCCTTTCCTGAACCCTTCCCTGGACCTCTTGAGTAAGAGCATTAAAAGACAGTCACAAGGGAAAACAGCCAGAAGTCAGTCAGCTCCCTTCGTTCAGTGCCCGAGGAAACAAGTGCTGCTCAGCCCTCTTCTTCCCTTACCCGCTGCATGCAAAACCATAACTCATGCATTTTCCATCCTCTCTCCTCATAACATCCCCCCCTTTACTCACCATTGCCCAAGTCACGAAGGAAGGTGGCTGCTGTGGGAGAGAAATACTGCAATAGGTTATAGCAGGAGTGGGAGATGGCCTTGGACAAGAAAAGACCAGTCCTGGGGTAAGGGGGGTAAAAGCTCACAAGGAGCCTTGGGTGGATGGTGCTTCAGACTGTGCTGCAAAGGTCAGGCTGGGTGGGGAGTGATGGAGTTGTCACAGGCTGCACTGAGCCCGTGTTCCTGCAAGGACAAGTGCTGTCTTTCCTTGTCTCACCTCCAGACTGGGGCTGTGCAGGAACCTACAGACAAACTGTGGATGTCAAACTTCCCTTGGCCCTTAGTCCATGCAGGTCAGAGGACCACGTGGTGGGGGCAGCCCTCGTCTCGCAGTAGCTGTTTGAGCTCTCCAGGTTTAGGGGGTTCTGGTCTCCCCAGCAGACAGCCCGTGCTGGTGGGCTTGGCTCACGGGGGTGTGGTGGTCACCCATCGCTTTTACACCCTGTAGTAAGGCTCTTGCATCTGGGGGCAAGCACTTTCTGTGGTGGGAATGAGAACAGGTCTGTTCCTCCAGCTCTGAGAGGATGGAGGTGTGATGCGGACATTTCAGAGCACGAAGGACCCCACAGAAAACAATTTGGAGCAGTTGTTACAGTGGTTTTGAACACTTTTGGTCTGGCTGTTGGTGAAAGATGCTTTGTAGGGAAAAATGGTGTTTGCATGCTCACATCTGCTCTGGTGGCTTAGCCAGGCATCCCTTCCACCAGCACGCAGGCTTCCCTGGGCACGGCTGTAATGGCAGCAGAAAAACATGTAGTGCAGGAGCAGAGCACACAGATCACCTTTCTTCTGTGCAGAGGATTCTGACAGAGGGCTGAGGATAGAAAGGTGGATACACCTTAAACGCCAGGGAGTTCTGTAGGAAACAGCAGGACTACAAAACCCGGGCAACTGCTGTCAGCATATCCCACAGTGAACCCACCACTCCACAGTTCCGCTGTGACCGGTGGTGTTCTCCCCATCCCAGCCTCCACTATCCATCCTTCTTGCTTCCCCTAATCCTGGGCGCTGTGCACCTCCCTCGCATCGGATGGGGGAAGAAGCAGGGGTTCTGCTACCAGCACTGAATGATTTATGTGAGGTGGAAGCTTCAGTTGTCATGAAAGGTTCAGTAAAGAAAGCTGGTCCCTGATGCGAGTTCTCTTTGGAACTTGTCTTCTTAGTGAATGGTGGTGGAAACTGTATGTAGCTGGGAAGAGCAGCCAGGGATCACTGTCCCAGCCCACTTCCTCCGGGGTTCTGACAGAGGGAGCGGAGCATCTGGATCCTTGTTTTACTGCTTTCCCACATGGCTCCTTGTTGTTCCTGCCCCAGTCGAGCTGTGAGGGAGACAGCCCCATGCTCAGGGGTGCTGTGCCACGCTGTTACCCGCAGCCTTTGGGCCCCAGCGTGCAGCTGACGTCCCTTTGCTGGTCTATGAGCCCATGCTGGTGGTGTCAGCCTTCACCACCATCTGCGCCCTGGCCAGCGACGGCGGGGCTGCCTGGGCCGGGCGCGCAGAGGGGCTGTTGCATGTGGTGGGAGCCGGGGTGCGCTGCGGGGTGCGAGGTTGGGTCCCTGCGGGATGCGCTGCGGGGTCCCTGCGGGATGCCGCGTTAACCTGCCGTGTCCTTTGTGCCCCAGGTGCTGCTGCTTCTTTAAGAGGAAACGGAAGAAGACGGCTCAGCGTCACAAGTGACCGGTGCCTCCTGGGCCGTGCAGGAACCACCTCGCCTGCAGCTCCTGCCCTGTCTCACTGGAAGGGGCTTCTCTTTAGGGGGAAGGAGGAGGAGGCTGAGAAGGAAGAGAGAAAAACGAAAAAAAAAAAAAAAAAAAAAAAAAAAAAAAGTGACTTTTTAAACCAAAAAGAGAAGAAAACGTTCCAAAACAAACCACTCTGGGGTGGATCTGCTGAATGGTCTCCCTCGTTCGCTCCAAGCCTGAAGCTCCTTTTGGGACCAGGACTGTGGCTGGCTCAGGTCTTGGTCGCCCTGGGAGGGGGGCTGGCTGGCTGACCCTCCTTCCCGTTGTTTACGGCGAAGGCATCGTTCACGCAAACCTGAGGACTGTGCTTAGTTCCTGCTCACTTTCCTCCCTCCCTCCCCTGCACCCTCTGCTCCTCTGTCCCCCTCCCTCCTTAATCCAGCGAAGAAATACCGTAGGCTGTTGAGAGGGCAGGAGGATGCAGAGGGAGAAGGGCCTGACTGCTGCAGCAGTGAGAGACAGGTTCCCTTTTGGCCTCCTTGGGAACAGTTACACTGTAATGTGCAAGCTGTGAGAAATTTGCAATCTACTGTTCCAGTTAGGGTTTTTGTTTGCGGCTCCCTTGACACCTCCCTCCTCTGACGGTAACAGAGCAACGTGGATTGTTTTAAAGAAGCTGACGTCATTGCACTTTTTATTATGTTTAGCATTTACAGATGCACATTGTATCTGTGGATCCCTGCGCGGCGCCGGCGCAGACAGACATTCAGCGGGGAAGACGGAGGGGTGCAAAGGAAGCCCTCGAGTGGGGATGTCGATGACATCCGCATGACCCTCGTGCCAGTCTGGGGTTCCCGACGCCTGCCTTGGGGCCTGGAAAGCATACTTGAATTTTCAGTCACCCTTCCTCACTGCCGGTGAATGTCCCTACCATGGTTTCCTACACCCGACTGCCTGGGAGACGCAAGGCTATAGCCTAGCGTTGGCAGAAGGGAGCAGCATTGGCTTTGCTGAGCTGGAGGAGTTTGCTCTTGCTTAAGAGGTAGAGCTGGATTAAGGTGACTGGGAGGGAGCCGCTTCCCAAAGCATAGATGTTTCCCAGTGTGGGTAACTGGGCAGCCTCCTCGGACCCCTCTGGCAGGGGGGTTGTGAACACATACCTTCCGTGGGAAAACATAGCAGGAGCAAAGCTTCCCCAGCAGGGAAAGGACACTTCATGCCTTAACACTGATTTCATCTCCAGATGGTCAGATAGGTTTGACTGGAAACGCCTTCATGTCCTCCCTGCACGCGTAGGTCTGGGGCCTGTGGGAGGCCATCCAACCCCATAGAAGCCATGGTTCTCATGCACCACTTTGGAGCCAAACCAGTAGCTAGCAAAGGGCTCAGGGCTTCGTACACGTTTCATCTTGCATCCTGCTGCAGCTGAGGCTGCCTGGGGGGGGTGGTGTGTTACCACAGACATAGCGGGGCTGTGAGAGAACTTGAGCAGCTCTTGGGAAGGTTGTGAATAGGTTCCTTGTACTTTGTCTTTCCATGTGTGGCACCTGACCGGGCTGCAGCTGCTCACTGGAGGGACTCCGTCTTAAACTTGGCCCTGGCTCATCCCCAAAGTCCTAGAGAGCTTGAAGGGATGAAAGGGAGAGACTAGATCTCATTATCTTTTACTGGTTTTAATGATGATCTGCGTATCTTGGAGTTCATGGAGCAGCACTCCCAGGAGGTTTGGTTCCCATGGGTGGGCAGAAGCAGGCTTAGAGGGCAGGAGGTTATCCTGGGCTTGCTCTTCGTGCATCCCTGAAGCAGGTAGACACTGGTATGGTGCTGGGGCAGAAAAGCCTCCTTGGCAGGATCCCCTTAGGGCATCTCTTCACCATTCCCTACTGAGTCCTCTCCATGCCTTATCCCAATGAGTGCAGCTCAGACGCACGGAGCCCTTTGCCCATGCACCCACCAGGAGACACATGAACGTTCCCACTCTGCAAAGCGCTTTCCTCAGGCCACAGCCAGGGCAGGAAGGGCACTGCTCACCTCCCGCAGGCACTTCGCGCCCCGTCCCCTCCTGCCAGCGAGAGTACAGGACAGTGGCCACGTTCCACCCTTCTCTTTCCAAACTCCTCCGCTGCCAGCAGCTTCCAGAAGCCTCATGTGTGGCACAGGCGCTGCCCTCTGCTGTAGGAAACCATGGTTTGGTGACTTGGGAGGGGGGGAAACGGGCACAGGCGTCCTCCAGGGAGATGGAGCCAGGCCCTGAGACACTTCTGTTGCTGCCCTCCCAAGCCCCACTAAGTGCCTGTCACCAGAACTCGATTCCTTCTGCATCTCCTGCCGTGTTTGGTCATTCCTTGCTGCCTCTGGTCAAGGAGCAGCTTGTAGTTGCAGCATATGTAAGTGTTTGCAGGGTGAGGGAGGGCTGGGGGGGAAGGGGCCATCTCAACAGGTTTTGTTCTAAAATGTTTTTTTGTTTTGTTTTGTTCTTTTTTTTTGTTGTTTCGGGGTTTTTTTAAGTGAATGTATTTGATTGTTTAGAACTTTCCTGACCTTGTTTTTAAGTGGGTCCGTTTGGAAGCTGTTCCGCAGTGACCCACTCCCACTGCTCTCTGGAGATACGATGTTCTTTTAATCCTACGATGATGTGTTTGTAGGGGAGGACTGTCCCCCCGCGGCATGCTGGTAATGCTCACTTGTACCAAGCCCTCTTGCACTAGAATCGTACGTTGGACTCTTCAAAAGGGCAGAGATGTGGGGTGGCTTCATTAACAAAAGGAAACTAAAGTGGGTTAACAGCAAGTGCTTGAGGAAGCCGCTGGCCCCAGGGAGCTCGGGGTGACCAGAAGACACAAGCCAAACTGAGCCAGCTGTGCTGTGGTGGGAGCAGGGCATTCAGCCTGCCTGGGCCACTTCTCTCCTCACCAGAGGTCATCAGCACTGGGGCCCCCAGGGGTGCGAGGAGCGGGCCCCGCGCCTGGCCCTCCAACGCTGCGATGCAGTCTTCTGAGGTATCAAGTGAGATGGTTATTATTATTTTTTTCAATAAAACATTGCACTGCTGCATTGTTCTCCATGAACAGACGTATTCTGTTACCTCGCCTGACGGCATCGCTTCTGTGTTGAGCTCCCACGTTACAAGTGACAGGACAAGAGGAAACGGCCTCAAGCTGCCCCAGGGCAGGTTTAGATGGAGCTGAGGAACAATTCCTGCCCCAGAGGGTGCTCAGGCATTGGAACAGGCTGCCCAGGGCAGGGCTGCAGTCACCGTCCCTGCAAGTGTTCACACAGCGTGGAGACGAGGCCTCAGTGCCATGGGTTAGGGGTGGCCTTGGCAGGGCTGGGAACGGCTGGACTGGATGGGCTTAAAGGGCTTTTCCAGCCTGGTTGATTCTGCGATTCTGTTCTCTTTCCCTTTGTTTCTGGTGGGCACTATTGGCAGCTCTCCACTCCTGTGAGAAGCTCTGAGCTCTCTTGAGGGGACAGTGCGTGGTGTGGGATCTTATGCAGCTGTCTTAACACTTTATGCTTTACAGCCATGGATGGCTCAGCCCCACAGAGCTTGGCCAAGGCATCATGACACTGATTTCTCTTTCCCCTGTGCCTGCACGTTCACATTTCAAGCACCCTGGGTAGCAGAATGGCTAAACCATTGATTACATGGAACAGAGATGTGGAACACCCCAAAACGTGCTGTCGCATGGCCCCTGTCTCTGCAGTAACATCTACAGCTGCTGCTGCTGCAGGCGTCAAAGGGTCCTTCCCATGCGTTAGGGCATTGTGTGCTCCTGTATGCTGCCTGAGGGGCTACAGCTCCCACCGGGTACCAGCCGAGCCCCCCAGCACACGCTGTGCTGGCAGCATGTGGCAACGACACAGGCCCAGCCTGCTGCCTCCAGTGCCACCGTCCTCTGCACCCCTGCCTGCTCACTGGGATCATGCAGAAGGGACAAGCACTGTGCTGCTTCCATGGGCTCAGCCGCCGGGATTGTGGAGGTTTCCGGTGTGCAAATCACTGCTGCTGCTTTATTCTCACTGCAGAGGAAGGCACTGAAGGAAGTGCCCCCTGCCACCAAATACAGCATCTTTTAAAAGCAGTAGCTAGACAGGGAGAGCACCTGCAGAACGACTGGTGGGAGCTCCTGATCCCACTTAGACACTGCTTCACACTGGGATCTTTGTCGGGACACGCTTTTTCCTTCTGTTTCCCAGCCTTAAACACAATAGAGACATAATAATGTAAATGTAATAATGCTCGAGCAACTCTGCTCTGGAGCCAGGCTGAGAGAGCTGGGCTGGGGCAGCCTGGACAAGAGAAGGCTCCTGAAGGGGAGACCTGAGAGCAGCTCCAGTGCCTGAAGGGGCTGCAGGAAACCTGGAGAGGGGCTTGGGACAAGGGATGTAGGGACAGGCCAAGGGGAATGGCTTTAACCTGCCCGAGGGGAGACTGAGATGAGCTCTTAGGCAGGAGCTCTTCCCTGTGAGGGTGCTGAGGCGCTGGCACAGGGTGCCCAGAGAAGCTGTGGCTGCCCCATCCCTGGCAGTGTTCAAGGCCAGGTTGGACACAGGGGCTTGGAGCAAGCTGCTCTAGTGGAAGGGCTCCCTGCCCGTGGCAGGGGCTGGAGCCGGGTGAGCTCTAAGCTCCCTCAGCCCCGCGCTGTGGCGGCCCCGCCCCTCCCCCTCCCAGGCCAATCAGCGCCGTCCCTGGCGCCGCGCGAGCCGCAACGTGGCACCCGCCCGGCGGCTCTCTCCGGCCCCGCCCCCGCCCGGCGGAAGGCGCGCGCGGCCCCTCCTCCCCCCCCCTCCCCCCTCCGTTGGTCGCGCCCGGGCGGCTGCGGCGGGGCGGGAGGGGGCGCGCGGCTCGGCCCGTACCACTGCGCGGGGGGAGGGGGGCGCGGCCGGATGCAGGCGGCGCGGCGGGCGCTGTGGCCGGGCTGCGAGCGGCGCAGGATGAAGGTGCTGGTGGCGGCGGCGGCGCTGGGCGCCGCGCTCCTGCTGCTGCTGCCCGCCGCGTCCCGCGCCGACGAGCGCAAGAAGGGACCCAAGGTCACGGCCAAGGTCGGGGGAACGGGGGAGCCGGGGCGCGGGCCTGGGGCGATGGGCGCGGGTCGGGCCGGGAGGGGTGGGTCCGGGCTGGCTCCGCTGGCGCGGCCCTCACCGGCATCCGTGCCCGCGCCAAGGTGTTCTTCGACCTGCGGATCGGGGAGGAGGACGCGGGGCGCGTCGTCATCGGGCTCTTCGGCAAGACCGTGCCCAAGACGGTGGAGAACTTCGTGGCCCTGGCCACGGGCGAGGTGAGGCCGCGGCAGCGCCCGGGGGCGGGGGGCTCCGGCCCGGCCCCGCGCCTCACTGCGCTTCCTTCCCCCCCCCCCCCCCCCATCCAGAAAGGGTTCGGGTTCAAGGGCAGCAAATTCCACCGCGTGATCAAGGACTTCATGATCCAGGGGGGAGACTTCACCCGCGGTGACGGCACTGGAGGTAACTGGGCCCGCGCCAGCCCCGGGACCCCGCCGCTGCGGAGCTGGGGCGCGGTGCCCCGGTGGGAAGGGGTGGGCACGGCGGTGGAATAGGGCTGGCCCCACAGCAGAGCTCGGAGCGTGGCTCCCTGCGGTGGCGGTGGTACTGAGCCCCCCTCTGGATGCGCTCATTCACCCACGCGGGCTGTGCGCAGAGCCCCATCAATCACCTGCGCCCTGACACACGTCCATGAGAGCAACGTGGCCTTTCCTGTTCCCCAATCCCTTAGGAAAAAGTATCTACGGGGACCGCTTCCCCGACGAGAACTTCAAGCTGAAGCACTACGGCCCTGGCTGGGTGAGCATGGCCAACGCCGGCAAGGACACCAACGGGTCCCAGTTCTTCATCACCACGGTGAAGACGCCGTGGCTGGATGGCAAGCACGTGGTGTTTGGCAAAGTGTTGGAGGGCATGGTAAGGGGTGATGGGTGGTAGAGGGGTGACTGATTCCCAGGGGGTGAGCAGGACCAGGCCGATGCTGGCTGGGGGCAGAGCACTGTGAAGAAGTGGCTGGGAGGTGCCTTACGGGATGGGGATTGCACTGACCAGGCTCTGCCCATGTCCTGCGTTGTTCTCATGCCTCTGCTTTCCCCAGGACGTGGTGAGGAAGGTGGAGAGCACTAAGACAGACAGCCGGGACAAGCCCCTGAAGGACGTCACCATCGCTGACTGCGGCACCATCGAGGTGGAGAAGCCATTCGCCATCGCCAAAGAGTAACACGCGGTCCTGGCTCTCTGGCGCGGCGAGGGGCCCGGCGCGAAGGGCTGCGGCCTGGGGCTGCCCTGCTCCCCCTCGTGTGTTCCCTGTGGTCCTGGGCGGGTGAGCAGGGGCAGAGCCACCTTGCCCTGGCTCCTTTCACCCTGCCGGCGGGCGGGCCGGGCCCGGGCTCCTTTCCATCACTTTTGTAAGAAGCACATGCACCAATAAACGTGACCAATGTGTTTTTTAAAGCGCTGCCTCTCTCCTGCTCCTGGAGGGCTGCAGCTCGCTCTCAGTCCCGCAGCCGAGGGCAGCCCCAGCCACCACCCCCTTCTTCCAGGTTTCATCAGGCTGAGCAGTTGGCCCTGGATTTGCCGTGCCGGAATGACAGAGCGCAGCCGGCATTTGCCAGTCACCCACAAGTGATTTATTGCTTCAATACCATGGGTTTTCCCAGTGCCATTTGGGGTCCAAAGGCCCCAACCCCAAAGCACTGGAGCAGAAGGCAGAAGTCCCAGAGAAGGCACATTGGATGGGGGTGGGTGGTCAGCTGTGGCTGCCACTGTGCTCCTTGGCTTCTCCCATCCTGCTTTCTTGCCCCATCACAGCAGGAAGAAGTTATTCCTGCAGTGGGGATGCTGCCACTGCCAGGGTCGTCACCCCTGCAGCCCCGGGTGCAGGGTGGGTGCTCAGGGCGCTGCCTGGCCAGGGGTGCTTCTAGGGGGGAGGTAGAGGCCCTGCAGCACCCCCCTGAGGATGGTGTCAGGGAGCGGCTCTGCAGGGAAAAGCAGGAGCTGGAGCCATGTCGCTGCGGGCTCCAGAAAAGGGAAAACACATTTTGGGGACCCAGCAGTGCCGCTTCCCGGGAGGGTTTGGGACCTGCTCCTTACGGGTGCCTGGAGGCTGCGCATAGGGATCGGTGCAGAAGCCAACAACAGGGCGCTGGGAGGGCGGGCGACTGGCACTGCTGTGGGAGAGGGAACATCAGCTCCCAGCAACCCGTCCGACTTCCACCTGCCTGTCCCAGCGTCCCCAAGTCCGGGTCTTGGAGCGCTTCACATGGGTGAGGGGATGATCCCAGCCCCATGCCGGGCTAACCCGGGTGCTGCCCGACAGCTCCGCGTGCTGCCTGGCTACTCACAGGGAGCTGCTGCCCTTGGGGTCCTGCTGGCAGCACCGCAGCTTCAGGAAGTCCAGCACGTCCTGGGGCAGCTCCGCGTTGTGGTACAGGACACCCTGAGGTGCACCCAGGGTCAGCACCCGACAAGAGCCCAGCACACCCCAGAAGCCACCCTCGGCCGGTGCCTCACCCGCATGTAAAGCTCCAGGCCCTGCCGGCGCTGCTCCAGCACTTTGGGCATCCAGTTGGGGACGTGGCGTGGGGGGAAGTCAGGGACCTTGCAGGTCTTCTTGATCTAGGGCAGAGCATGGTTTGGGGGGGGCTGGGGCACATCGCGGCGGCAGCATGGCATGTGGAGGATGGGGCTGCTCCTCCCTGCCTGGGGAGCCGGCGTCCTCCTGTCCCCTCCCTGTGTCCCTGCTGGGCTCTCACCCGCTTGTGCAGCGCCTGGAACTCGCTGTAACGCTTCGCAACCGTGTGCCGCCGGCCATTGCACAGCACCTCCACCCGGAACACCTGCGGCGCGGGACAGCCTTCCTCAGCATCCTCACGCACATCAGCCTCATCCTCATCCCCATCACCCCCATCATCTTCATCAATCATCCTCTCCATCATCCCCATTATCTGCATCAACCATCCTCATCATCCCCATTATCCTCATCTCCATCAACCTCATCATCCTCACCGTCCTCCAAGGGGAGGCAGGGGCCTCCAACTCACACACACTCTTGGGAGCCTCCACTCTCCCCACTGTCCAGGACAGGCAGCCCCCTAACTTCTGGCATAGGCAGGGATCCCCTGGGCCCAATGTAGACCACAGGAGCAGACGAACCCCCAAAGCAGGGGGAGAAACCCCCAGCCCTTTGGTTAGCTGTGGACATCCCCCCTGCCAGGGCAGCCGGGACCCCAGGGACAAACAGGGACCTTCAACCCCCTTGGGGCTTGCGGGGACAGCAGGGAGGGGACACGGGGCACCTCAACCCTGGGGCAGAGGGGGACAACCCCCCCTTTCCAGGGCAGGTCAGGACCCCCTGGGGACAGTCAGGGCCCTCCAACCCCATTCACATCCCCACCTCCACAAAGTGACCCTGCACCCCCTGCAGGGGGGGCCACCCCAGGCAGGGACCCCTGGGGACACACAGTGACCTTCACCCCAATGCGCCATCGGGACCCCCAGGCCAAGACACACAACAACACCCTCCAGGGAGACTTCAGCAGGACTGAAGCCCTCCATGCAGGGACCCCCTGGGAGCTCTCAGGGCAGGTGGGAACCCCCCCAACCTCCCCTGGGGCCAGAAGGGACCCCCGGGACAGGGACAACCTTTTTCTTAAGGGGAAGTGGGCTCCAGCCCCCAGGGCAAGGGGGCGCCCCCAGGGACATCCACACGCTGTGCCCCTGCCCTGGCTCTCCAGCCCCTGGGACAAGTGGGGCGTTCCCACCTCCCCAGGAGGGACGCCCCAGCCCGCAGGGAGGGTACGGAGGTATCTGGGGACCTCCAACCCCTGGGGTACAGGGGGAGGCTCCCCCACCCATCCCTGGGGCCAGGCAGGAGCACCCAGGGGATCCCCCAGGGCAGGGGCAACCCCCCCCTTCAGAGACAGAGGGTCCCCAGGCAGGGGTCCCCCCGGGACAGGCCCCCCCCCCCTTCCCGAGGCCCCATGGGCACAGCCGGTGACACCCCCATGCGGCCAGAGAGGACCCCCCAAAAACTTCAGAGGTAGAAACTGCCCTGGGGGCACTTGGGCCCCTGCACCCCCGGGGGGCAGAGGGACGTGGCACAGCCCCCCCGTGGGGCGGGGGGGGTACCCGGCGGCAGAAGGGGATCCCCTCCTTAGACACAAACCCCCTGAGGCCAGAGGAAAACCTGGGCCAGCCCCCCCCCCCCCCCTTTATAAAGGCAGAGGAACTGCCCCAGCTGCCACCGCACACCCCAATAGCAGTGGCGACACTTGGGGCTCACAAGGAGGCCCCGGCAGAGGAACAGCCCCACTCCCAGGGCGCCCCCTTAGAGGCAGGGACCCCCGGAGACCTCCAACCCCTGAGGCGGGGGGGGCATCCCGGGACAACCCCCCCGGACCAGGCCCCCCCCACCTGCCAACGCTGGAGGGGCTGTGCCCCCTCTGCAGGGACCCCCCCGCCCGGGCACCTCTGGGGACCTCCGACCCCCAACACCCCCCCGGGCAGGTGGGAACCCCCTCTCCAGACCCGCCCCCCCCCCTTCCCCCATAGCCCGCGGGCGCCCCTCACCGTGTGCGCCCTGTCGGGGCTGCGCGCTGCCGCCTGCGCCTCGGCCGCGGGGATGGACACGGCGATCATGGCCCCGCCCGGGGCCACGGGGGGACCCCGCACCCGGCCGAGCTCCGACCCCTGCGGGGAGCGGGGGCAGCCGGAGCCTGGCGGCGCCGCGGGGACCCGGAGCTGCAGGGCCAAGGGGAAAGGAAAGCGGGAAGTCCGCGGGAGCCGGCTCCCGCCCGTGACAGCAGCGGACGGGGCACCGGGTCCGCTGTGGGGAGGGGGGAAGGAGCCGGGGCAGCCCCCACACCTCGCAGCTGCCGCTCGGGACCAGGCTCCCCCCCGGCCCCCAGCGCAGCCCCGCTGAGCTCAGACCTAAAAACAGCCCCGGCCGCGGCGGGGCCAAAGCCGCAGCAGGAGCCGCGGTAGCGCCCAAGGTCACAACACGGCGGGAGCATCCCCGCCTCCCGCGGCACCGTTACGGCTCCCGGGCACGGCCGCAACCACCCGGAGCCGGTGTGCCCTGATAGAAGTTTTATTACAGAAGTTAACAGCGCTGCAGGGTAAGATAATCATTAGAGTCCTAACCCAGCCTGAAAAATATACATTTCACACAGAATGTTCCACCCCTGCTGCAGGTCTGGTCTCAAAGCAGGAAACTGGATTCTCTTCAGTAAGAAAATATATGTTGCTAAATGAAAAATATACAGTTAGAAGAGTTACTGGCTCGCAAGCTGCTTGTCCAGGGGTTAAACCTCTACCAGCTCCGGAGTGTTGAACGAGGATTTGTTCACGTGTAAAAGAGGAAGAGGTATAGTGCATATAAAAAAAAACAAAAAACAACCAAAAAAAAAGGCAAATCCCAGGCTTGCTCTTGTGCTCCTGTTAGGAAATGGCCTTGGCCTCGGGGAGGAACGCTTCCCAGTACTTCACCAGCTGCAAGAGGAGAGACAGCACAGTCAGGAGCCTGCAGGGTTTTGCCAGCACAGCTCGAGCCGAGAGAGAGCTGAGAAGCATGGGGTGGGGGAAGAGAAGCCCCTCCACAGGGCACAGCCTCCCCAGAGGCATCCAGGGGGGTGCAAGGCTTGTATCTGCCCCTGCTCCAGCCCACGGGGGCTCATCCCTCCCCTCACCCAGGGACAGGATGCACCCGCAGTGGGGTTCACACTGAGCTGAGCTTCAAGAGGTAAAACCCACTCACCTGCTGCTGAGAGTTTAGTAACGTCTCAAGGTATTTTGTGACGTGGTTTCTGAAGTCCTTGGATTTCTCTTTCTGCAAGAGACAGGCACAAGGAGTCAGCGCAAGGCCAAATGCATCACCAAACAAACCCCTCCAGCTTCTGAGGGGGAAGGAGAAACCACCAGGGTTTCCCTGTCCCTCCTGGGGCACCACAGAGACCAGCCCAAGAGTTTGAGATGTCGAGCATGAAGCTCCTCTCCGGTCACAGCCTCTTGGCTCAGGGGCTCTCTGCGCACCCACCTTCATTTCAAAGGGTCTGCTTCTCACACAGAAACCTCCCCGTGGCCAAACGCCACCAGCCCTGCCCGGAGCAGCGATGCCACAACCGGGATGTGGCCAGATTTACAGACGCTGCCAACCGCTGCGCTGGGAGCAGGGTCAGGAGCCCAGGGACCCTCGCCTCATGTTCCCAGCCAAGGCACACCAAGGCCAGGCAGGTGGAGGGCTGCAGGCTGAGAGCAGGGGCCAAACCTACCTCAAACCGTATCACTTCCTTGCGGATGACGGCAGAAATCCGTTCGAAGTCCCTTTCGTACTGTGTGACACGAGACTCCCACTGCAGAGAGAGGAAGCATGCGGCCGTCTGCAGGGCAGGGGACGTGAAGAACCTCTCGCTGCCCTCTCTAAGCAGTTCTGTACTCATGACTGTGAGAGAGGCTCTGCCAGAGCAAAGCTCGGCGTTCCTGGCCCTCACCCTCGCAGCAAGCTGCTTCCTGGCTTGCTGTGAGCAAACCACAGGAGGTGGGACACAAGCAGCCCCTCCTGAGGCTTCCTGCAGGGCTTGCTCAAGGCTGGCTTATCTCTTGATGCACACTTGGCAAGAGTTACCCATCCCTTCAGCACCGGGGCAGAGCACAGAGGGAAGGAGCTGAGCAGAGACCCAGAGCACCCCAGTCCCTACCTCCGTGATCTCATCCTTGGCCTGCTGCAGCTTGTCGGGTTTGTTGGCCCACAGCAGCCTGGCCTCCATCTCCCTCTTCTTCTGCAGCATGGTCTGGGCATCCTGCCACCGCTGCCAGGTCTTCATGCGCTGGTCAAAGGCTCCCTGCAAGGAAGGAGCAGGGACTGAGCTCTGCTTCATCAAGCGAGGTCCTGGGCTCTCCTCTGTGTAACTCAACCTGAGCCAGAACACGCACTGCTCTATAAGGTGCAACATCAACCAACTTGTGCCTCAGGAACAGCTTTGGGGCCTCTCTCCACACAGGGGTTTGCCCACCAGCCCGAGGGTTTGGCAGGAGCCACTGAAGAGCTCCAGCCACATGCAGGGTCCAGTGCAAGCCTGGACAGGCCTGAGGCCACCCATGAGCTGGCAGCACCCCAAGCACAATGTCTGGCACAGCCCCAAGCTCTGCTGGGGGCCCACTTCAATCCTGCCATGAGGGGCAGTGAGGGGCTGCCTCTGCCCACCCCACATTGGATCTCTAGCAGCAGCTCACAGACACCCATCAGGAGGCCAGATGACCTTAAGCAGTCCTGCAAATCACGAGTCCAAGCAAGGAAAACCCCATGAAGCATCTGAATGCATCCAGCCAGATTGTGGGGAAGAGCTAGAAAAGCAAAAGCAGTGTCCCAGTGTCCCAACAGCCTGGTCAGAAGGACAGAGCAGCCACGAGGCAGGTAAAGTCTGAGGGCTCCTTACCAGAACACCCCAGCCTTACACCTCCAGCACTACGGGAGGTCTTGGCCCTGCTCTGGAGCACCCACCACACCTCCCAGTACAGGCTGGCAGACCAAAGAGGCTTGTGCCTACTCATGAGGCTGCATTCTGGCCTCTGCAGCCTCTGGAAACAACTGCAGAGACACAGGACATGTTTGGGGCAGGAAGGAGTCAGCCTCCAGCTCACTTGGGAGCTGTTTCTTTCAGCCCTCAGCACACTGGGCAGGCTGCAGGCTCAAAGACTCAAACTCTCCCCCAGCAAATCTATTTGCAACACTCAGATCAGAGGTTACCAGCTCAGCCCCTCTGCAGTAGCCAGAGTTTTCACCTCCAGAAGGGTTGAGGCCACCTGCAAGCCATGAGCTTGCTGCACAACTCCCCCTGGAGAGCAGCAGCACAGTAAGGCCTCACCTACCTCACTTTTCCAATCTAACCACTCCAACACATCCACAGCTGGACAAGCAGCAAGTTTTCCCTCTGCCTGGATAGGTCAGAAGCATGACATGCCCTGTGCTTGAATTCAGAAGACCAGCTAGCTGCCCTCTGGCACACCAAAGTCTAAGGTCAGGACCAGGAGCAGAGCCTAGGGCTTGCCCCAAAGGAGTGCTCACCCTTACAACCGAAAGCAGGCGGATGTAGTCTCCCAGGAGCTCAGCCAGGAGGAAGAAGTCATTGTTAGCCTGTTCGTGGTGCAGCTGCTCAATCTTCTCTTCCACCTCAGCCAGCTGGGACAGTGCCCGGGACAGGGCTGTGTTGTCCTCTGAGCTCCCCAGCATGGCCAGGCTCTTTGCAAACTGGGCTGTGTTCAATGCTAGCTCTAGTGAAGGAAACAAGAGTCAACAACAGGGCCTCACTTCCTCAGGTGCTCTGCAAGCCAAGCCCCAGCCTAGAGGTCAGCCCTAGCAGCTGCTCTGCTGTAGCCCCAGGAGATGTGGGCTGGAAGAGCCAGCACCATCTCCGTCAGAGCCAGCAGCTCCTGCAGCACAGTGGGAGGAGGGCTGGGAAACTCCAGCCAGGGAGGAGAAGGGAAGCAGCAGAGTGGGAGGACAAGGCAGAGCTTTGCAGAAGTCAGCCAAAACATGCAGGGGAAGAAAACATCCCCACTCCCTGCCAGAGGACAGCTTGGAATTGGTAGGAACATCAGCTCTGCTCAGGTTTGCTACTGCAGCCTCATCCAGCAGGACACTCACACCGACACCAACATCCTAAACTGGTAGGGCTGGGCAGAAGAGGTGGGATTACTGTTCTACTTATCTCCCATGATAAAGAGACAGGGAGTTCTTAACAAGGCAGCTCTGTGGTATCTCCTCAGAAGTGCCTCCTGGGACACCTGCACACCAGTGCAGGTCAGGTTTAACTGCTACAGGCCAAGCTTCAGCTCAAGCAGGGGGGCTTGTCACCTTTCCTGTGGTTCACCAGTGTCTCCACCACAGCGTGCAGCTTCCGGAGCCGCTGGTCCTCACACTCCACCTCCTGCAGCTTCTCCTCAAACCACTGAAACGAATCCAAGAGCTGATTCCCACACATGGCACCGCTGTGGGGCTTTCCTGGCATCTCCCACCCAAAGCTCGCTCTGGCACACAGCTCCAGAGAGAGGACAAGGACAGCCCAGAGGTGTCCTAACACTTACTATGTCCGATTCATTCATCTTGATGGTCATTTTACTGACAGCATCTGTAGCTTTGTTGAACATCTTCAGTATTCCTGCTCCACTCAGGGCCTGGGTCCCCACTGCTCTTGGTAGCTATAAAAAAACAGAAATAGTTTGCTTTGCCAGGAGACAGAAACAGCTTAGACAGCAGCCACCACATCATTCTCCCTTGTGGGTCCCTTGACGGACAGGGCTTCTCTGCACACAGCTCCTGCAAAGGATCAGCCAGACACTGCCTCAGCAGTGGCAAAGCCCACACAACATTCCCAATAACGGGACTGGAGTAGTTTACAAACAGATGAGGAGCTCCTAAGTGTTACACTGTATGCGGGGTCTGCCTGTTCTGCTTGGCTGAAGTAACACAGATCTGTAGGAACCAGCCACACTACTGAACTGAGGGCTGTAAGAGCTGCCACAGGCACACAGGCACGTAGCAGAGCTGGGAAATATTCTACACCAACCACAACTACTTTCCAGGGAGAGTTGAAGCTGCCCAGCAGCAAAGTGAGGTGTTTCCATGATGCCTGCTCCTACACCAGAGCTCCAGCACAGCATTAGCACTGCAGTCACTCAGG